TAGCGGTGGCAGTGCCCCACCCGGCGGTATCAATGCTTGCATTGATCTTTTGCGAACAATTGCACACTTGTAGATGAAATCTAATTCAATTGAATGCTCCAATCGGTCGACACATGCGTTGCCTAACAAATGAATATTGGTTCGCAAATCTTCAATGTCTTCCAGCGGGACATCATTCTGGCCGATCCATTGAAACAAAATACGGGCCAATACTATACAGCCGTGAGCTGACCGAATCAGTTGGTAAGTCAGTGAATGAAACTGACCCCATGTTACGCACTGTCTCTTCAGTGAGCCGTACAGTGTTTCGTCGATGACATAGAGACACATTTGGTCGCCGTTGGCAATCAGCCGGGCCTGTGCGCCGCCATTTCCGTGAAGTCCGTACGAAAACATAGCTGTAAAACGTGTTCCCTGTGCGAAACATGTATGTACCATATATAGTTCCTGGCCGCCTTGAAAAGTGATCGGTACGGCCCGTATGCGCCAATTGTTTCCAAAGTCTACGTAAATGATTCCATGGTAGTTACTCAACCCTACTACAAATTCGTCGACACCGATGGTTAGCAACTGAAATGCATTAGTATTGTCGTTGTCGGCAATCATTTCGACATACGGTCGACCGCCTGCAGCAGTGAATGGCAATACGGCTAACTGACGGCTAATCGTTTGGAAAACCAGATCGATAATGGTTAGCATAACATCATAATCTTGCGGTTGATTAGCCATATCTGGATAGATAAGGTGCTCTGGATGTATGTCCTTTTTGGAAGTTCTGTCAATCTATTTAAACAACTGATCCTTTAAATTATTGAGTCTAATGTCTTGTGTGTGTGCAGTAATCGGTGGTAAAAGTAATATATCTTTTTTTTTGTTTGTTCTTTAATAAAATTATTATTATTTTTACAAAACTTCAATTGTTGTGTTTTTAATTGTTGGTTAAATTGTTTTGTTTTTTTTAATAATACAAATTTTTATTTAAATTATTTTTTACCGATAAAATTTATTTTTCTTTTACTAAAATTAACTGAATAATATGACACTAATTATAAAATTGATTTATTATGTAATTAACAATTGTTTGTAATGTTTTGTATATACATACCATAGTACACATAATAATTAGTGTAATTATATTTTATTTATTGTAAAAAACAGATTTTAATAATAAAATGATAATTTTTTAAAAACAAAAAAAAATAGTTTTCAAAAAAAACCTAATAAAATGTTTTGTCATTTTGAAAGATACTTTTCTTTTATTTTTATTGATGTATTAAACAACTTGTTTGACTAAATATTTTATTTTTTACAAATATCTCAATTGATTTTTGTTTTTCTTGTTGTTGTTTAGACACCTAAATACTTGTGTTGTTTGTTGTTGTTGTCGACCATCACTGTTGTTGTTGCTCTTCCTGTTGTTGTTGTTCCTCTTCCTCTTGGTCTTCATTTTCATTTCCTTGATTCTTAGGCCAAAAAGATGGTACATTGACTCCTTTGCCTAAACCATATATAGCAGGATAAGTGGCTATAAAAGTGGGCCCTGCCTCTATGTGTTCCTGTGCCGGAGCATGTATATTGGGCGCCAGTATACTGTACTTCCAGATCTGTTCCAATTTAACCAACCAACGATAATTATCCATCAGTCGGTCGCTTACTAAACGCAATTGATTGGCCCAATTATGGACAGTCTGCAGAAGTTCGGGGTCGGCATCGTTGTGTACCTGACGGGACAGACGACGGGCATCGCATATCCTCCGGGACAGTGGCAACAAGTGGTCAAACCAGCGCTGATAGAGTACGGTCACCTGTTGGGTTTCGAAAAGTTCGCGCAACTGTCTGGCCATAAATCTGTTGATGAAATATATGCGCTGATCGTTCAGCGGGTCGGGTAACAGTAGCGACATTGCTTGGTAGCCATTGTTGCCTCTGATAAGATCCAGGTCTTCGTTGTGACTGCCGGCCAGTCCGTGACTGTGCAACGGTGTCCATAGAACGTGAGTGTTTCTCTCTGCCAACCAGGCCGGCCAATTGGGCACTTGTCTCAACCGATATGTATGATTGGATGAATCGGTAAAATTTGCTGAAAACAGTATATAGATTCCAACTTCAATTATGGTAACTGTTACGTCAAAGTGTTGGTCATTTACTAGATTGATGTTAACAAAACGTGGTTCGCCAACGTTTGTATTCAAAAAATCAATTGAATTGCCAACATTGGCGTACTGGCCAAACACTTGTTCCCAATCTGCAGTATAATAATCGTGTTGGCCTAGTGTACCGAGAAATTCTGTCCAATCGGTATCGATTTGACCGATATTGATATTGTCGGGATCAAATGGCGGCACTGGACCATAATCGGGCACCTGCATCAACAATGGTTGCGCTACTGGCCATACTTGTGGTATTAATGCGGGCATATTTTCTGTCCTCACAACGGCAACTTTGAAGATATATTCGGCAGCTGTTGCCCACTGCAGTTGTTGACCATAAATACTTCCCAACTGATGGATCTGATCTCTCAAGTCTTCAAGTACTTGTTGGTTGATGTCCTGATCGATAAATATATTCAACGCAGTGACCAATGTTACCAGTCCGTAGGCGGCCCTAACTAACTGGTATATTAGCGACTGATGGCCACCCCACGAGACGCACTGGTAGCGCAACTCTAGAGCCGTTTCTGCGTCTATGACGTATAGATTTTGTTGCTGTTGAGCCGCATTAGCGCCGGGAATTATCTGCGCCTGCGGTCCGCTCATACCTTTGGATATTTGCGGAAACATAACTCTGTATTTTCCAGCGCCTACGTAACCGGCAAACGATGTCTGAACCATTGTCCGATCCAGACCATCGTAGTTGATCCGCTGTCCCCGCAGAACCCAATGGTTTCCGAACGAGACAAATGTCGGTCCGCCTTTGACACTCTTTGGATGTACCGGAAACCGGTCGTGGCCTAGACGTAGCAACTGTGGCCTCTGTACTGCCATATTGATGTACTGATGATTTTGTGCATCGTTTCTAACGAATACTACCTGAGTCTGTAATATATGTTCGGTTTCTCCTAAGATTTTGTTTATATCTTCTAGTTGTTCGGCTGTCAGTTGGTTTGCCATGTTTTTTGTCCACTACTACTACTAATACTGTATGTATCGTATGGACAGTTAGTCTTTTTTTGTGTATGGATATTATACACAATTTCTGTGTCTAACTGTTTTTGTTGTTTTGTTTGATTTTAACCTCTAAGTGGAAGTGATGGGTGATTTGGTTGTATCTGTGACTACAAAATGTTTTAGTTTTTTTAAATTTATTTAAAAACTATTTTTTTATATATATAAAACTTCAATTGTTGTTTTTAATTGTTGGTTCATTTATTTGTTAAAAACTATTTTTTTTTTAAATACAAATTAAATTTATTTTAAACTATTTTTTTCAAATAAAAAGAAAAATAATAGTCAAATAAATACAGGTATCAAACATACATAAATACTACACACACACACATACTGTAGTATCGGTATACAATTTCAGTCCCTCAACATTATACTGGGCACCCACCTAATTACAAGCAGACAGACACACACACATACAAAGTACATGGCTGATCCCAATATGTTGCAACATATGAGACAAAATATCTTATTATGGAGACAATCGGTTGACAATCCGGACATTTCAAATGGACTATTGGCTCATATAGATTATCAATTACGACAAATACTAGATAATCGGCACCTGTATGCCAACGCTAGAGGATGGGAGGGCCGATGGATTATCCATGAGGCTGAACAACTTCAACGTGATATTGATCATCGATCGAAAGACTACGGCGATGAGGAAGTGTTTTTGTCGACTGTCAATCAGGCCAACCATTTGGCCGTAACGTGTGAGGCATCGCTAAATCAAATGATTGAAATGGAACCGCCCGACGATATCATTGATATATCATTGTTTAATTTCGATCAGCCGATACATTTGCCGTGGTGGGGCGGCCGAGAGCATACTATACCGATAGAAATGCATCATTGTATGCCATTCGATACGGCTATAGCCGAATCGTTGGACACTTGGTACGGCTATTGTCGCTTTCCGATGCCACGCAACAGTCCGCTACCGTTGACCATATTTGTGGCCTGGTTTAAGCGTCACCATCAACCCTCAGATAATGATAATCTGGAAAACGTCCGGTTTTCTGTCTATCTGAACCTGGATCATATCTGGAAGAGGCCGTCCGGCACCCGTATGAGCCCATTCAACAACTACATATCAGCTAAACGTCAAGCTATATGGTTTTACGGACCACGATTACATGTGCTCAGTGCCAAATGGTATTTCGAGTTACGGGATATAGTAGACAATTATCGTCGATTGTTACCATTTGCCGATCGTCTACAACAAAAGTTGGTCGACATTGATCTACTATATCGGCAACAGTTTCACCAATGGACGCCACAGGACAGGGCAATACTTGAACCCCACTATCGGCAAATGTTTGCCAATATTTTGCGTATACGGGACCGACTGCGCGACAATTATCAGCATTTTGTCGATCGTCTGAATATGTTTTCAGTCGATGATGAGACAGGAGGTGGCGGTGGTCTACTTATACCGTAAATTGTACTAAATTACCAGTTGATGGGGTTGACCAGTAAAACATGTGTATGGCTTATGATTAATATTTCCGAAATAGTAATTAGTAGTAGTAATAGTTATTGTTGTTGTAGTAAACAATAAAATATAGTAGTATTAGATAACTGAGGGTTTTTTTCTGTATATATGATTGATTAGACAATACATGGTTAAGCTTGCAAATGGTCGACCAGATGTTTCAATACGAAACAGTCGATATCGGACTTACCGGTTATACGATCAACCAATGAATTATTGATTAGACTAGTATTTAAGATTTTTTTAAAAAAATAAATCAATTATGTATATAAAATAGCTATTTTTCTTGTTAGTTTAATTATAGCATATTCATACATCAGTTCACTTGATCAGGTATGTTATAGACCATATCTACGATGACGGGTAGCGTATGGATACAGTATATCAATAAAATGTCTGCCCCTATAAAACTCTAGTTCCGGTGAAGCCATATACTGACTAAACAGCTGTTGTATTGTTTGATTAGTCTCCAAGTATGGCATAAGATTCAGACAGTCGGGTATGGAATCTATAGGTGACGCTTTCAAATGGTCGACCAGATGTTTCAATATGAAACAGTCGATACCGGACTTACCTTTGATGCTACCGATCAACCAATGAATCATTTGGCACATATTGGCAACGTCTTCGCCAAATTGATTTTTCATAAGCAAATGGTCGTCACTGGTAGTGTATTGTCGGGAAACACCAAAATCGGCCCATTTGGCCACTATGTTATACCCGTCCAACTGCTGCTGTTGTTGTTGTTGTCCATCCTGTTCGGCTATCGGATCTTCCGAGACGTTGTCGGTATCTGAAAATATCAAAACATTTTGTAGACCAATATCGTAGTGAACAATATGATTGTAGTGCAGATACTTGAGTCCAGCACAGAGATCCCAGAATATTTTGTGTACAGTATAACAGGTCAACAATCCATTATTAACATATTGATCCAGTGATCCGTAATCAGCCAAATCCATGATAATATAACTACGATCGTAACTGTCGACCATATCCCGGCGGTCATACCTAAACTCCAGCGACGATCCTATATTGATAACCAAACGATAGGTTAAGACGTTTTTATGATTAAGAAAACGCATAATACGTTTCTCCCGTTCCTGTGCTTGCCTGCACTCGTCGGCCAATCTGTTTTTCGGATTTATATGGCAACACTTGACAGCAAATGTCTGGCCTAACTGTACATTGCACTATATAAAATTTTTGCGCACATTTGCTTCACATTTAGGAGAGTTCTGGGGACTTTCAGTTTGAGTAGAGCTGAACACCATAATTCGTGACCCTCAATGAGCACACCAAGTAGCTATGACAACAAATACAAGTAATAATGTTTCTCGATCAGTAGATCAGTTCAAGAAACAGTAACAATGTTACTAGTCTGTATTACCAGAGCAACAATGAAACTTTTTCTAAAATTACAAACCTACTAAACTTTAGTAATAATCAGAAACAATGATTGTTGAAAAACAAAGAAACAATAGTTCTCAAAAATTGAAAATCCAAATGAAAGCACCAATGATTCTTGTAGTCAAACTGATCGCGAGCATAGAAACAATAATACTTACGGTTATGAAAATAGTTCGACCAGAAACAATGAAACTTAAATTCCAAAGTAATAATGTTTCTCAAAATCCATCTCAGCTTTGGATCGAGCAACAATATTACTTCTATTAATTGTGATACTTTGTCAAGTAACACTGTTTCTTTCAACAATAGTTCAGTACTATTGTATCTTAAGTGTTGATTTTATACAGTCGTTATTCATGAATATGATTTAAATCGTAATTTATTTAATAATATTAATGAAAATCAAATTAAGTAACATTAGTTCTTAACAATATTTTATATAATTACTTAAGAATATTGACGAAATAAAGTAATACAAATATATATATATATTAAATATAATACTTATGATCTGAATTAAATTGTTAATTTTAGTGTAGTAATAGTTAATTAATGTTTAACAAAAAAAATTATTTACAAAAATGAATATCAACTAATAAGACTATTTAACTAATTAATGAAAATAATTTTAAACCAATTATTTTGAATATAGTGTTGATTACTTACTAAAACAATTAATGAGATTCTTCAGACTTTCAGTGGGAATATTACCGTCGACTTTATCCAAATAGTAGTCAAATCCGAGAACTAATTTCTCAAAACCCATCCAAAAACAAGCTGTTTCAGGCGTATAGACAATTTCAGAATAAAGATTTTTCAGCATAATAGCTGAAAATATGCTTTCAAAGATTGTATCAGATTTTGCAAACAATTCGTCCAACTGATACACTGATAAATATGTTACGCCATTTCCGCTTATTTTAGTCAATATTTCTTCCGTAATGTCTTCAGTATTCAAATCCAATGTATCAGCATTTGTGACAATAATGTGCATATGAGGCGACGAATCGGGTCCTATTGTCAAATCTTTTTCAGCGGAAATCATTTCCTTGTGGCCGTAAATTACACGACGTTTGCATGTAATCTCTTCCAAAACCAATAAGGCGGCCACAGCTCTAGAGGCATCTAATAAATATTGAAACAAATAGTTTATTAAACTAAACTAAATTAATGATTTTATTACCGTTTTGAAATTTAGACGAAATTTGCAATAAATGTTTAGATTTTGGTAGTTTGTCGTCAGCAAAGTTTGATTGGTATTCATAGAGTGAATGCCATAAATTCAATGTTTTGTCAATCAACGTATTAGTATTCATCGAACGCATCAAATCTAAATTTTTGCCGCCAAAGTGAGTGCAAAGCTCATGAAATTGGTCGTAAAGCTAATAAAATATAAATATTAGTAACAATATTACTTTTAATTAGAAAATAATTAGATTATACAATATTTTAATTACTTACACATTTTGTTGATTTTTCCAATTGCGAGTCATCGGTTTTGAAACGAATGTTTCTGTCGTTTTCATCAATTAATGGTTTGCAAATCAACTTAAATAATGCTAATGATTGTAGTTTTGGATAATGAGAAATACGTTAAAATATTTAGTTAAATGTTATTCAATGTTTCTTATTGTAATTAAAATTATTTTATTTATTTACCCAATTTATTAGATTTCTCATTTGATTTCTCTTCAGTACTCTCAACAATCACAGTTGCTGACATACTTGTGCTATCATTCGAGGACTTCCTATCAATTTTAGTTTTTTTTGAAGTCTGTTGATAGCTAATTTGGCTACCACTGACATTGAGTACAAAATCTTCTGCAGAATTGTCATTTTCTTTATTATTGTGAGAATAAGCAACCAATGGATTTGGTTCTTCAGCTATAGGCTGTAAATTGTAAAATTTAAATAAAAAAAATTAAAAACAAAGTTATTAAATATACATAAAACAAATTAGGAATAGTTTATTAAATTATCATCAAATACTTGTCGATTTTCTTCATCTGATTTATCGCTTTCGTTTAATTGAAGCCCTGAAGAAACATTGTTTCCATCCTCTACTTCCATGTCGACTTCTTCTTCAGATAATCTATGAACACCTAACATAGCCGATGTAGTTTGCATTTGTTCGTCATCTGAAGATTGATTCATCCAATTTTCAGTGTCTTCAGTTTTTCGTTTGCGTTTCATTATTTTTGCGATTAGTTTACTACTAACATTTTCTTTAGTGGCCTCGGGTTGACTATAAAAATAATTAATTTAACTAAATATTTATATATTATTGATTAAAAAAATATATAATAACTTTGTTGTTTGTTGACTAGTTATTGAATCCATTAACTCAGTGTCATCTAATGACGGTTCGCTTGGATTACTTACTAAAAATAAAAATTTTTTAATAGTTACAATGTTTTAATATCTAAATTAATTTTTTTTGTTTTACTTTCAGGTAAATCGATTTCATTTGAAACCACTGCTGATGGTGTGGTCTGTTTAGTCGGTCCTTTTTTCGATTTACGTTGTTTGGTGGTCTTAGTAACAACTTTTTTGCGCTTTTGTTGGCCTAAAATATTTACAATTTTCTGATTACTATAATCTATTTAATAATAAATAAAATAAGTTAATCACTTAGTTGTTTTGGTTTCTTATGATATCTTTTGTTGTATTCTGTTTTGCGGCCTTTTACCAAAAGTTGTTCCTATAAGTAACATTGTTTCATAAAAATATATTTTAAACTAATTGGGTTAGATATATATTTATATTCATTTTATTTAATTAAATAATAGACTTACAAAAGTCAGTCCTTTGCTACCAAACAGATTCGGATACCTAGCGGTGAAACTGTAGGCAAGTATACCGAACAGTTTTGGCAATTGAAGTTCACTCTTATGTGGAGACATTGTTTTCATTGCTCTACATAAACAATTATTTTACAATTTATTAATTATAATAAATTATTAAAACATTTAATTAACTTAACTGTGAATAAGCATCAATGTGTCTATTGAACACATTAATCATTGTTTTTGCTAACAGTGGCCTACTATCGAGATTGATATTGTTGTCGGCAATTAGTAAGTTAAACAACTCTTCCTCTTCAGCATTATCGTTATCAAAAAATGGTAACATAGGACTACTTTTGATAAACAAATCTGAAAGTTCTTGAATTGTAAGAGGCAATGATTCCAATTTAATGTCATCACAAGTTGTCGGCAACAGATCCATCAATATTCGAGTATTATCTCTGGCCATCTGATATCTCGGTGTGACTAATGATTTCTTCTGTTTTCTTGTAGGACAATCAGTGTCTTCATAATCAGTGTCTTCTGTCATTGACTCATGAGTTTGTAAACTCTTTGATTATTTTAATTGAAATTTAATACATAACAATAAATAATGAGTATATATTATAAAAATAATTTAAATTAAAAAAAAATTAAAAACATACTTACCTCACGTTTGTCTTCAGGTGTCCTCTTAATGACGGAACTATCGTAAAACATACGTTTCGTATGTTTACGTGTCGACCGACGATTAACTGATTTTTCTATTAAATCACTTTGTTCACTCATTTTGTTCAAATATAAATTAGTAAACAATACTAATTCAATTTAATAAATCACCAATTGATAATCCAATTGTTGTTAAATAAGTTTAACAGTAATTAAAATTAAACACTGAATATGTTTTTGACTGTAATAGTCATACGTTTAAAACCACATTTATTTTGAACTTTTATTGTATAAACATAAAAAATACTGTAATATTATTGGCTAATTTTAGGTATCTCTATGCACAACTATAACACTTGTATCATATACACTAAACTTATATAAGTATTGCATATAGTCATTTAATAAACTTATATATAATTATTATTCAATAATACAATAAAATAAGGTTAAATTATTTAATAACTTAATTAATATTTTCAATTGTTTAGTTTTTTTTTGAAAAGTTAATTTTAATACATTTATTGTTTAATTTAATTTAGATGCTAAAATGTCAGTGTTTAACTGTCAATCGCCTAACTGTTCTGAAACTTTTATCGAACACTTTATGTATAGTAAACATTGTTTCAAAAAGCATTATGTTTTAGGAGAAAGTTTCAAATGCTATGCATGTGATTACAAAAGAATTCCCACAATTGTCATTAACTATAATTCCAATTCTGATGATAAGAATAATCAATCTAAATTATTGAAAGAGGAATTCCATAATACCTGTGCTTGTCATATCAGATATCACGTCAAAAAGAAGAAAGATAAAGTCAGAAACTATGTTTCTAAATCTAAAGACAATAACCAATTGAATCCTCCAACAATTATTGACAATATTTCATCGACAGTTGGCTCACATAAAAAACTAACAACAACAGTAACGGCTTTTTTATGTGATGATGATGGTAATGAAATATTAAACAATGAAATAAGTGAAAACGATTATAGTTACGATAATAGTTTTACAATTAGTGATGCCGAAAATGTGAATCAAGAAATTACTATTAACGAAAATGAATCTGAAATTGATTACAATTTGATTGATGAATTAGATTTGACAAATACGATATTTGAAACTGTTGATTACGAACCATTAGAAACAATGGAACTTCACAACAATAGTGATTCTGCTGATGATATTTCAAGTAACTTTTCATCAGATGGCTTAGAAATAAATAATAAGACTATTGAAGATCACAACTATTATGGTATGAATACTAACGATAATAACGAAATCAATGACATTGATATTGATCCTAAAGTTATTCGCGAAAACTTATTTAATGTAATGAATAAACTGAAAAACAATGTTTCTGAAAGAAAAGTTATTCAAATGGCATTAGAATTTTTGGATGTTTTTAAACCATTCTTTACTAGCTATCACGAAGACTTGTACTATTATATGAGAAAATCAGTTAAATCAATATATCATCAACACAATGAAATAAAACAACTATCATCATATGTCAAATTTACCGAATATAAATCTGATTGGAATAATAGTAATAGTAGTAGCTGCCAGTTAACAGATAATGATACTCAAAGTGCTAGTAGCAGACAAAGCAATTTGAGCGGTCCTTCATCTAAACGTAGAAAGAAAAAACATCACTCAAATAAAAAAAAGACCTCAACGACAACCGTATATTTCATTATGTTCATATAACAGAAACATTGAAACGTAAACTAAGTGATCCTGAAACCTACAAATTGCTAATGAAAGACAAAGGTAAGACACATTGATTCTAAACATTAATTAAAATTATATATATATTAATTTTAATTAATGTTTAGAACGAAAGAAAAATGATGACTATTATACATCATATAAAGATGGCAAACAATATGAAACACAAATTGAACCGTTCGACATAAATACAGACAAACCATATTTAAGAATACAGTTATATGCCGACGACTTTACTATTAATCCAAAGAAAAGCGGACCAAACGAACAAAAGCTTATAGCCATCTACTTTACAGTAGATAACTTAGGCTATGAGAATCAATCGACTAGAGAATCAATATTAATGACATGCTAAAGTAACATTGACTCTGATTCAACAAACTACTCATTTTTCTGAGAGTTTCAATGTTTCTTACTAATAGCGTCTCGGTTGTCAGTGGTTTGTTAGTGTGACTATCGGTCGACTGTATTGACTGAGCCGAGATTTGGCTTAAGTGTCTTGAACTAGTATTACTACTGACAAGTTCGTCTTGGATTTGATTGGCCGACGATTGTGTACTAACTGATGGTACATTATCCGTCAGTTGTTTGTCCATCTCATTCGAATACGAACTCAAAATACTTTCATCAGAACCAATGTTTTTCGGTATTTCCATGTCTTTGTCAGTCACTGGTTCTCTATCATTATTTATTGAAAAAGCACTCAAGTTTTCGAACGAAATCTTTTCCATAGTTGTTGAAATATCAACAACAGTATCATTGTTACTTTTTATTTGTTTAACAATCGGCGGCAGGTCTTCTGAATCAGTATTATCCATACTATCTGACATATTCTCTTCTATGGTTTCGAAAGTTCGTTTCTTTGTTTGCGATGTTTCACTATCACCAGTGATTTTGTTCTCCGATTTTTGTGTCCTATCGTCTGTGATTTGTGAGCCAATGTTTATCAGCGAATAGTCTTTGCTTTGTTGACCAACACTTTGGTTGATCACTATCAGGTCACCCCATTCTTCTTTTGGATATTCGGTTACAAAATGTGTGGACAACATGTGATCAACTCTTAGTTGAGGTCCATCAAGTGTGGCCGCAGCCTCACGCGATAGTTGTGATAGCGGATCGAAACGTCTCTCCGCAATAGCGATCATTAGATCGTAACCAAACAATTCTTTATCATCTTCTACTTCCATCTCTGGAGTATGACTTGAAGACGGCGGTCGTTGTTGTCCACTCGACATAATCACACAAATGAGTTTTAATTTTCGATTAATCTAAATAATATTTAATTATTTAAAAACATATATATTTATTTGTATAATTATTAGTTTAGTTTAAATAAAACTTACCAATTATTTGATTTAATAACTGTTAAAAAAAACTTTTATTGCGTCAAAAAAAACTTTATGTCTAATGCTTACAACTATAGTGCGCCACTCTTTGTTTGAATTCAACTCTTACTGTTTGTAATATAGTGGCGCTATATGTATGCATATGAATATTTTATTGGCTAGTACTAGCTTTGTTGCTTATAACTATCTATTAATACGCCATCTAGAATATTGTAAACAATATTCAAATAATATTTTATTTCAATATTAAGTAACAATATTTCTATAGTGAGTATTTTATAAGAAACTTTATTTTTGATAAAAATTTATATTAACTTTATAGTTAACTCTGATACAATCTTTTTTTAGTAAATATTATTTTTAAGAAACTATGTTACTTACAAACAATTTTTGTCATCATTTTCTAGTCAACTCTGATACAATCTTTCTTTAGTAATTATTTTTTAAGAAACTATGTTACTTATAATCAATTTTATCAACATTTTCTAGTCAACTCAGTTACAATGTTTATGAATTTTTCATATATCTAAGAACTATTGTTACTTTTTTAACAAACATGTCATGTGGTACAAACAAATCTCTAAACTGGCGCTAGAATACTGTGCTCTGATTGGCTGACGACTTTTAACTAAAAAAAATCCACAAAAACATAACGATATGCTGTTACTTTTGCAGCGCCTCTGACGGGGGAGTAACCAACTATTAGATGTGAAGCAAATGTGCGCAATTATTTTATATAGTGTTGCGTAGCCGTTCCCCGTTAGCGGTTGTCCTAACAGTTTCAATCTGATTGATTGATTGATTAGATTTTAAAACAAACCAAACAAACAAAATTATGATTAGTTAGTTTAGCAAACATGTAGCTAATAATAATAATACCTGTAGTACTGTATATCATTGATGTTTGATACATACCCCAATGCCATATTTACCTTTAAATACATAACCAAATGCTCCACTACCTAAATAACTGGTCGACTTAGTGGACGTACAGTCATCGATAATAAAACCCATTTGTCTCAACGTTTTGAAATCCGATTTTAGGACATCCCAATCGCACATACTTTTTGGACTCATTTTCAATGTATTGCTAATGTTTAGCTCTGATCTTCTAGCAATGTCATCGTCCATATGTTGTCCAGTCGCCTGCTCTGGACTATCATCAGGTGCTCCGGATGCCTGTGCCATTATCTGTATAATTAATACTTATGTTTAAAATTATTTTAAAAAACAATTTTTAAATTTAAATTAATAACCAAAAAAAATTCACAACAAAATATATGAATATTAAAATTATTTAGAAAAATTACTATTTTAAAAACAGTGGGCACCGGGAAATTATTATTATTATTACTTCTACTACTACTACTACTACTACTACTACTACTACTACTACTACTACTACTACTACTACTACTACTACTACTACTACTACTACTACTACTACCACACACACACACACATTATTTTAAATTATTTATTTTATAATTTTAAATGTTTAAATAAGATTTTTTTAAAAATCAATATTTTATTTTCACTGTATATACACTGGTTTTTTTAAAAAAATAAATAAATAATTTTCAGTAAATTAATTCATTCAAATAAAACTTGAAAACACATAACTGTCGTAGAGATGATTGGCGACCAATGCTATCGGTAGTAAATTTAATGCGACAAAACTGACGCCAATTGAACAGTCCGATCGGCGCTAAACATTGCGGACACTGGACACTGCCCGACACTTGGCTATACACGTTTGCGGACAACCATGCGGTCGGTTCGGTAAACACAAAGCACTTGTTATAGCGCAGCACTTGGATGTCGCTAAACAGTACTGACCGACACCGGGCGCACTGGTATTGGCAGCCGAACTGGTCGTCATCAATGGCCGTCGACTGGAGTATCGCGAAGAACTTGTGCTGAATAGTCTGGTCGGTGTCGACGATACCGTAGACAATCCGTTTTTGACAAACATAGAGAAACCGATTCAATAGGTATTCCCGAAACTGATGGTTCAGCGGATCAAATGAATAGTTCATCGCTTCGAACAGTTTGAGCTGAAATCGGAAACCGCTGTTTGGTCTGGCAATTGGCCGCCGTTGGCGTACCCGACGCATGGCTTCGCGATACCCGATACGGTCTCTCCACATGATATACGAGACAACTATTGTAACACTACGCGATCGACCCATACGGCAGTGGACATACACTGGCTGCGATTGGCTCAGGCCGTTGTCAATAAATCGGTGCGCTCGGGGAAAGTGTGTCAATAGGTCGTCGTTGTGGGTGTCGTTCAACTGGATGTGCCCGTACTGGACGTCCGGTAGACGACAGCTGTCATCTATGCCGACATTTCTCACAGTCAGCACACGTCGGGTACCAATCAGGCGCATGACATCCAAGTCATGGGCGGCCATAACGTTACCGAGGAATAGGTTGTCTTCGATCATCGAATAGTCAACCGGTAAATGCATGTCCTCTTGTTTTATGACCATTTTTTTTTAATTTGCATATATAATACAGTATACTGTATGCTTCTGTATGTTCACTGTCCGCGGGTATATGAGATAAATGTGTGTTTTACCTACTGTTCCCTCAGTACTAGGGGTTTAAGACACAACACTTAATCAATCAATGGATTGCCTGAAGTTGTGTCTAACAAATCAAACAAACAAACAAAAACTAACAATTATTTTCAAAAAATAATTTTTTTGTTGTTGAAAATTCTTTTCAAATCAATTGTTTAGAAAAATTTAAAAAACGCGTGAAATATTACCATAAAAATAATAATTCATAATAAAAATAAAATTTTTTTCAACAATTAAAAAAACAATTACCGGTAAATTTAAAAAAATAAATAAATAAGTGCATAACAAATTTAGTATCAATCAAATAGTAGTAAAATAAATTAATTGTTAACAATATATCAACAAGGCAAATCTTTTATCTTTAGTTATTTATTATATTTAGCTAGTTTATTTTACTAAAAAATAAAAATGTTTACCAAAAAAATTAATTTATAAAATAAATTGAATTATAATTTTTTGCCATTTAATAAATTTCTACTAATAATAATAATCTAAATAATTTTTTTGTTTATTTACTGAAACTTTTGTTATTGTTGAGATATATATAACTTTAAATTTATTTTAACCTATAATCTAATATATATATATATATATATATATATATAATAAAACTTGTATATTTTATTGTTTTTTTATAAAATTTTTAAATAATATTTTGTATATATATAGTTTTAATATAAAAAAAAATTTAAGTAAAATTATTATTTAAAAAAAAATTAAATTCAAATAACATAATACAGTACACAATATACAGTACAGTATAATATCATATATTTATTTTACGACATTATTGATGGATTATAACCGTTACGTCAATATTTAATACAATATTATTATTACATACACTTTAATACTGTATATTACAGTATATAATAATAATAAGTAAAATTCAATTTCAAAAAATTTTAACCAATAGTTATGTATATATGTTATGTTTGATTGAAGTTATTATTATGTGTTTTATTATAAATCACTAACAGATTAATAGTTAATGTAATATTAAAATAGCAAAACAAACAAAAAATTTTGTTTTGAAAAGTATTTAAAAAACTTTTTTTTGATAACAAAACAAAAAAAAGTTTTGTTTGTTTTTTGTATTGTTTTTTTAATTACAAGTGATTTTTAACTTATCATAACTTTGAAGAAGAAGAAGACGACGAAGACATTGAAAGATAATAATAATAATAATGGCCTCAACATTGGCGGCGGCTATGAATACATCGGAGACGGAGGCTATGACCACATCGGAGGCGGCGGCTATGGACACATCGGCGGCGGCTATAATAACATCGGAGGCTATGACCACATCGGAGGCGTCGGAGGCTATGACCACATCGGAGTCGACATCGGTAGCGATGACCAAAACAACAACAATGCGCCACTCGTTTGACCGTTTCGGCGACGATCTAACTCAACTGGTACTATCGTATATGACGATCAGTCCCGAAGACAAATGGAAACTACAGTTTGTGTCCAAACAGTGGCAACGGTTGATGTTTAACACTGTAACCGATATCGAGATAGACATCCGATTCTGGAATGATATGCGAAGAGCGGAATGGTTTCTATCGATTGTCCGAAAGTGTCGTAACATTCGCCGTCTAGTCATCCGCGACCACACCAAAGACACTGCCCGATCTGTTGTCGACATTCTGTGCGACCATTTGATGGCCAATTGTCCGCACATCAGACATCTGTCGCTGGAAACCGATGACACCAGCAGTGCGTACACCGGTTTCAATCGGCTGTTGACATCAGTTAGCCAACAGTTGTCGAGTCTTGAATGGATTACCTACTGGAAGAATCATCGGAAAGTTGTCCGCATTGTCAGCGAATATTTGCCGCAAATCCCGAAGCTGGTCATCACCGACAGAAGCTTACCGTTTGCTGAGCTAAGAGAGTTTTACATTGAAAAAGATCTCTGTATACTACCCGCTAGTATAAAGTCGGTGGCAATCGGACTGAGAGCTAACGATTGGCAGTCACTGATCGATCAGTTCGCCACCAACTATGGCCGCCAATTGACCGAACTGGACATTGCTGTCAAATTGAACAACGAAACTGATATCGTATTGTTGGTAACAGCGCTGACACAGATGTCTCAACTAAGACGACTTCGGCTAAACTTTTATCAAACACCACTAATGGATCAGTTTGTTTGCCAACTGTTGAGTCTAGAGTTTAGCCGTAACTGTCCTAATCTTAATCATTTAACCATTATTTGTGCTCAATATGCTTCTTATATTGGTATTAAAAAGAAGACATTTGAAGAATTAATCAAAACATTGTCAACAGATCTCAAACAACTGAAACGATTGACCATTTCATGTCATATTGGCTATCGTTTTGACGAAAAGTATTTGCTGACCAGTGGCCAACTGAAACAAATGAAACGGTTGACACATTTGTCTCTGAATTTGTCGGGATTCAACATCAGTGACAAGTTTTTCGTCAACATTGACGACAATTTACCGCGACTTCAGTTGATTGACATTACCGGTGTGGTCATTACGCGCACCGCTATCCAGTCGTTGGCCAAATTGCGTCACTTGAATACCGTACGATTGGCCTCCTGTTCTAACGATCTAATTGATGACCAATATATTGTCGGCGATCTACTCGATGGCCAACCAAAAGTGACCAATGTTTACGTGGCTCATAGTTCACGAGATTTTAGACACAAGTTTACCCGCGGGTATATTGAAACTGAAAATCTAGTTATTACCGGTAAAACTATTTATTAAATGATATTTTTTTTAAAAATACAGAAATATATATTTAAAAAATATTTTTTTAAAAAATATATTTAATATAACAGTAAAATATTTATAAAGTATTTATTTATCTATTAAACACACACACACTTACACCAGATATTATTATTATTATTGCACTTATTATAATCACTATTTTTTGTTTTGCTAATTACGGTAAACCATAATTACCGGTAATACACTTTATATACGTAATATAATAATTTCAATTAATTCAAATTTAACTTTAAATTTTTAATATATAGTATTATAGTATTTATAAATAATATATTTGTATTTTTTTGTTATTATTTTTTGTTGGTTGGCAATTATTTTGACGTTTATTAAATTATCTAATCAATTATGTATTTATTATTATTATGATAAAGTACTTAAATAAAAATTATCAATAAACTTTCATTATTTAAACTATTGTTAATTTTTATTTTTTTTTGTAACTAATTAATGGAATATTAATTTTTTTTGAGTATGGTAAGTTAATTAATTACAGGTAATTTTAACTCTAAAATTTACTCTAATATTTTTTTTTTCTAATAGTTAAATTTATAAAAATATTTGGATAATAATGTATTACTCCTAAAAATACTTAAACTATTTGCTATAAATTAAATAGTTATTTAAAAAATAATAATACTGTTTTACTACTGTATAAGAAAAAATTATTATTATTTATTTAATTACTAATCTGGTAAAAATTAGACCTTGATGACAAATCTTTTTATTTATTGCTACTATTATTATAATACAGGTATTTAAATAATATTTTCATACCTGTATATCCTATATTATACATAAAATAATACTATTGTAAATTACAATTACAATTTGTAATACAGTATTAAATATTGTTACAACAATTTATTGTAATATTAATTATAATACAATTGTAATTACCCCTATAAATTACGGTTAATGCTATCAGTTTGCTAGTTATATTGAATATACATTTAAAGGGTAGCAAAATTAACCAAAAATTTTTAGACGTAATTGATATCCTTAATAATATACACACACACATTGATTGTTATATTCGAAACCAAAACAACAGTACATAGCACCACAAGTACATAGAGATATATCATAGATTACACTTAATATATATACATACAAATAAAATCGTGAATATAATAACTATGTCTAACATTGTCTATGCTCCGCCCCTAAACATTAAACAATTATATTGCGCGCATAGATATTTTATACACTATTGTGCTTATGTGGGCGTTAATTATTGTTTTGGTTTTGAATATAATCTAATAGTTTATAATACTATTATTAGATGACATCATTGACTGTAAAAATACAAATAACAACTAAAACATAGAAATATAATAATAATAATAAAAATCAATAAAACAGTTGAATGAATGTCATCGCCATTGATGTAACAAAACAGTCAATAGATATCATATCATATCAAACATATTGTCTATATATTGAAGATCTGATCCGAGCGACAACAACAACAAAATGGTTGAACATATGATGCGCTCGGATCTGATGTCACTCTGCCAGCTGTTCCTGCAGTCGGAGGCCGCCTATAACTGTGTGGCCGAGTTGGGAGAGTTAGGACTGACACAGTTCAGAGATGTATGGATTTTATCACCCGAATTGATCCCATCATCGATGTACTAATGTCTTGTTATTTGTCTCTTTTAATAATAGTTGAATCCCGATGTCAACGCTTTTCAGCGCAAGTTTGTCAACGAAGTCCGCCGTTGCGATGAAATGGAGAGAAAACTTAGTAAAAGAAATCATTTGTTTTGTTTGTTTTGATTGAACCAATGTCTTCATCAGACATCCACCAGATAGTTGTCCACCAAACTAATCACTACTATTACTACTTTGGTTTAATCTATTTTAATAGGATATCTGGAGAAAGAGATCAGACGCGACGGTATACCTATGCTGGACATTGGCGACAATCCCGAAGCGCCGCAACCGCGTGAGATGATCGATCTTGAGGTGTGTGTGTGTTGTTGTCTCAATTGGTGACACCATTTGTGATATACTAACTATAAATATCAACTAATTGTGAATTATCTTATTTTTGATGACCACTCTATCCATTTGTAGGCCACATACGAAAAGCTGGAAAATGAGCTCAAAGAGGTCAACACCAATGCCGAAGCGCTTAAGAAGACATACCTCGAGTTATCTGAATTGAGACACATATTGAAAAAGACTCAACAGTTCTTCGACGAGGTATGAGTTTGTTTTTAACTACTTTTTTTCCCCCCCAACTATTTTATGAATGAACTCTGGATCAGATCCCTATCTCCCCCCCCCGCCCTCTATATATATTTACTCTGTTGTGATGTCGTCTGACTCTTTACTACCCCTTTTCCATCAACCATACCTTAAATCTTTGATCCCATAAAAACTGATTGATTGATTGATTTGTGATGAGTTGATTATTAAATGTTGTGATTGTCCTCAAAAAAAAAATTTAATTAAAAATAAAAGTTATATAATTTTAATTTAATAACTCTTTTAATAATCTAATTAATAACAACTAATAACTATTACCAGAGATATTATTATTATTATTATTATTACTAGAATTTTGATTACCTTAAAATAATAATAATAAAAATTTAATTACTATGCATAATATTATCATCTCATTATTATTATATTAATATATGAAAATGTTAAATCATTGATGAGACCAGTAGTACTCTATTAAAGTATTATCTAATTTAGATCATTGATAAATTTATTAATTTTAATTAATGTTTTTTTTATTAAAAAAATTGTTTTTAATTGACACCAATTCATAAATAATGAGACTGTTAATGATATTAACATTGTTTATTAGTTATTATTATAATTTATAATGATGATGATAAAACATTTAAACAATATATTATTGCATTTTGTTAGCATATTTAATTTTATCTAGTGTATTTTTTTTGGGGGGGAGGGTGCACTAATTATTTATTTGCATGCTAATTTTTTTTAAATATTTTTTTAAATGCTTAAATTATTAATTAATAGATTATTTATTTTAATTATTTATTTTTATAATTTTGTTTCCTATCATTTTTTTTCTCTCTCACTCTCTCTCTCTCCACTGTTTTCCCCCAATTGTCTAACAAACAAACAATTGATTATCACTGAAAATAACTGTTACACCTGTTTATTATTGACACACACACACATACATACCTAATTGTCACCTGTATTAACCACTTTAAAAAAACAATACATACATATCTTTTACATAACATACACATATAATTTGTTTGTTTAATTTATGTTGTTTTTATTGTCCAATTTATTATATATATATACTGTATGTATATCTGTATGTCATCCCCCATGTCTTGTATTGGTTTTCGATGTTGTTGTCTGTGCTTTATCTGTGTGTGTGTGTGTGTGTGTGTGTGTGTGCTGTGTATGTGTCCATCCGTGTGCCAAATGATATGTCATAAAAAAAGGTGTCGGACATACCAATACAGATGCAAGACTCTGGCTATCAGGACGAGAACATACAGTTGTTGGGCGAGGAAGGTCTACGAGCCGGCGGTCAACCGGCCTTGAAGTTGGGGTAATGCTAAAAATCAATTGATTAGTTTACTGACTTTGTTTCAAATCACTAATAAATTTTGTCTGTTTTTTTCGGACTGATTAGATTTGTGGCCGGAGTTATACTACGCGAACGATTACCATCGTTTGAGCGTATGCTGTGGCGGGTGTGTCGCGGCAATGTATTTCTACGACAGGCCGAAATCGATACGCCACTGGAAGATCCGCATACCGGCGACAATGTCTATAAGTCGGTCTTTATTATCTTCTTTCAAGGAGAACAACTCAAGTCTAGAGTTAAAAAGATATGCGAAGGGTATGTATATGATAACCACAACTATCTGGTTTATACACACACATACAGGTGCTCTCTCTCAACAAAATGTTTTTTTTTCTACTACCGTATAGTTTTCGGGCCACTCTATATCCCTGTCCGGAGACACCATCGGACAGACGCGAAATGATTAGCGGTGTTGTCTCGCGAATCGAAGACTTGAATACCGTTTTGTCGCAGACAACCGAACACCGACATCGAGTACTGGTCGCTGCGGCCAAGAATATTAAGAACTGGTTCGTTAAAGTACGCAAAATTAAGGCCGTTTATCATACACTGAATATGTTTAATTTGGATGTCACACAAAAATGTCTGATTGCCGAATGCTGGGCGGCCAACGATGACTTGGAACGCATTCAGATGGCACTGAAACGCGGTACCGAACGCAGCGGTTCAACGGTACCGTCCATATTGAATAAGATGGACACCCAGGAGGTGCCGCCGACTTTCAATCGTACCAACAAAGGTTGATTGATTTATTATTTTTTATAACTTTAAATAAATTGACTTTTTTTATTATCAATTGTTTTCAGTTACGCGCGGCTTTCAGGCTATTGTCGATGCCTACGGTGTGGCCACCTATCGCGAGATGAATCCGGCACCGTTCACAATGATAACCTTCCCGTTTCTGTTTGCCGTAATGTTTGGCGACGCCGGTCACGGACTAATTATGACACTGTTTGGCCTATGGATGGTACTCAAGGAGCGCAATCTCATACAGCAAAAGTCGACTAACGAAATATGGCTAACATTTTTCAATGGTCGCTACATTATACTAATGATGGGCTGCTTCTCCATCTATACCGGGTTTATCTATAACGACATATTTTCTAAATCGTTGAACATATTTGGCAGCTCGTGGTCGGCCGTATCGCTAAACAAATCGAAAAGCTATCCACACGAACATTATATACTGGATCCTCAAGTTAATTACGATGGAGGACCATATTTTTTCGGTTTAGATCCGGTATGTATGTGTGTGTGTGTGTGTGACGGACGGTAGTAAACAGTAATACCGTGTAGTTATATATATTTTGGTGATTACGGTATTTATTATTTTATTTTTGATGTTCCCCGTCGACCAGGTTTGGCAACTGTCGGAAAATAAGATACTGTTTCTCAATTCGTATAAAATGAAACTATCGGTTATACTCGGTGTCGGCCAAATGTTTTTCGGTGTTATGCTTAGCCTATGGAATCATAAGTGAGTAGTTGTTTTTATCATACTATCCATTTTATCGTTTAACCTAACTAACTGTCCACACATTTGATTTTTTTTTGTTTTAAAAATCAGATATTTTCAAAATCGACTGAATATTATCTGCGAATTTATACCGCAAGTAATCTTTTTGTTGTCGATCTTCGGTTACATGAATCTGATGATTGTTGTCAAATGGCTTAAATATGATTCGCGTGAATCTGGTTGCGCGCCATCCATACTAATCAATTTGATTAATATGTTTCTATATAAATATGTCGACGACGACGATAAGACATCCGCCTGTTATCTGAAGGACTGGTACGCGGGACAGAAATTTTTTCAAACAGTACTACTGTTGGCGTCGTTGGGTTGTATACCGTGGATGTTGTTCGTCAAACCCTATATACTGATGAAACAACACGAACTTCGTATGCGTTTTCATTCGACTAATGAAGTACTGGTCGATGGCGATACTAGTATTCAGATTGAACAGCCGCCGCCACCATCGGCTCACGGAGATCACGGTGACGGCCAGTTCGATGTTCAAGAGGTGTTCATACATCAGGCAATACATACTATTGAATACTGTTTGGGATCCATATCGCATACGGCCAGCTATCTGCGTCTGTGGGCACTGAGTCTGGCCCACGCCCAACTGTCGGAGGTGTTATGGTCGATGGTCATGCGTATCGGACTCAATGGTAACGGTATTTTTGGCGGTATTGTCATGTTTTTCATATTCGGTTTCTGGGCGTTCCTGACGGTCAGCGTTCTGTTGCTGATGGAAGGTCTGAGCGCTTTTCTTCACGCCCTACGTCTGCACTGGTATGCAATAAACTGATTGATTCATTGTTTGTTTGTTGTAATCGTAATTAATGTTTTTGTTTAATTGTTTTTAGGGTTGAATTTCAATCCAAGTTTTACTCGGGAATGGGCTATTCATTTCAACCGTTTTCGTTTGAGGTAATACTCGAATTGGCGGCTCAAGAGTCGACCACCGAAACCAATTGATTGATTGATGTTTTTGTTTTAAAAATTATCATAATTTATATAAAAAAAAATTTACCCTTAAATTAATCGATAAAAATTAATATTTAGGAATTAATGTTTTATTAGTCTAATTTAGGTAATAATAACTGTTAACTCGATTTTATTTTATAAACTACAAATTTATTAATTATAAAAATATTTTTATTTATTAACTCTATTAATTAACTCGAAATATTTTATTTTACTTTGAAACTCAATTGAATTATATACAGTATATATATATAAAAAATGTTTAGTCGAAAAATATTGTAACTCGAATCTAAAATAATTTATTGTTCATTATTATTATATATATTAATATATATCTATTTAATTGTTAATTTTCTATATTTGTTTTTAATGTTTATCTCATAATGTGTTATATTTTTTTTAACTATTTATTTGTCTGGTATTGGAAAATATTAACGTAATAACTGCTAAATGATTGAATTGGAGACTGAATTATATATTATTTTTCTAAATTTTATTTTATTTCTATATAATTTATACATAAATTGTTTTTAATATAATTATTATTATTAATTTTTGATGTGTTCAAAGTATTTTTTTTTTTAATTATTATTATTTATCTAAAATGTATTCAATTAATTAATTAATTTTTTTCTGAAAAAAATATAAAATAAATGTTGTGGTTGTCGTTGAAAACAAAAAATTAAATTATTTTACAATTCAGATTTAATTAGTGTATTAAATATTTATAAAACATTAACTAATTTAATAAAAGGTAAGACTCTTTTAACTAAATTATTAGAAAACGGTTTAGAAATGGGAAAATAAAACATTTTCATTAATTAATTATACACCAAACAAAAATCTAACATTATTAACTAAATAATTATTTTTTATGAATGATTTTAATATAATAACTATTTATTGTTAGATTTATTTTTGTTGTTGTTGTTGAATAATATCATAAATTTATAGTTAAAAAAAATTAATTAATAAAATGGTAAAGCTGTAATAGTTATTATAAAATCTATATATATATATAGTATTATCATTGTTAACAACTTAAGAGATAATGGTATAAAAGGGTTTATATATACTGTAGTTATAATTCAAAGATTAATACAATTTATTTAAAATTATTATTACTATTACTATTACTACTAAAATCATACTGTAGTTATAATCAAATAATAAAATGCTAAATTTAAGTGTTTATTTCATTTGATTTAATAGTATAATCTAACTTAATTAATCTAATTAATTTATGATAATTAAAAAATTATTGCGTATTTAATGTCTATATACCTGTATATATACTGTCTATAAGTATTAGTTATCAAAAAACAAAATTATGTAAAAACATTAATTAGTATTGTATTAATTAGTTTTAAATATTTAATTATAAATAACATATAATTTTTTTTTAAACAAAATGCCCGGTTATGATTGCGACCGATTTGTTAATCTGAGTCCATCGGATAGGTCGGAGCTATCGTGTAGTATATGTCAGGATATATTTTGCTGTCCGGTTATCGTCCAGTGCTGTCGCCAAACATTTTGCGAAGACTGTATCAACAATTGGCTGTCCGCTAACAATACCTGTCCGTATGATAGAAAAACACTTACTAAGGATGCATTAGCACAACCACCCAGGTATGTCCAAAATTTTTTTTTAAAAAGTAATATTTTTTGCTATTTAAATTTTAAATAGATATATAATTTATTTAAAATCCAAACTTGGCTCAGGTTCATTTTATGGTAACATTGAAAATATAAATTTAGTTTAAGTTTTAAAAAATATATAGTATTTATTTAATTTTACTATTTATCACATTTTTATTGCCCGACTGTTTAATACACAAAATATTTATAAAAAAAAACAATTTCTTAAAAAAATTTAAGTAAAAACTTTTTGTGTATTTATTTTGTTTTTTTTGTTGGTTAGAGTTATGATTAATATATTAGGAAAACTACAAATCAAATGTGATTTTCAGGATAAGGGTTGCAATGAAGTGATATCGTTAGAGGATCTGTCAAATCATGTTAACAATAATTGTCGATATAATTCATCCAAAAGTTTAATTACGGAAACAATTAGCGTATTGACAGCTAATTTAAGTGTAGAGTCTTTGTTAAGAGAAATACATGAATTAAAGGCCGAAAAGAAAAACTTTTTGAAAACAATTCAAGAGTTAACCGATAGTCAAGAAGACTTGACTACAAGTATGAGTAATCTTCAGGTAATTGTAATTTAATTTTAAATAATTTTTTTCAAAAAAATATTTAAAAATATAGTTTCAATATATTACTAATTAAATTAATTTCTCAATTTATAGCTAATTAACAACCAAAGTGTGGCCACAAATACAGGTATTAGCTCACAATCAGTATCACAACCGGAAGTAATACATTAAATATATATATATTTTTAATTTATGAGTATTTATTGAAGATATCTATTGTTTGTTTGTTTTTTAATTTTTTTCTGAACAGTTGTCTGAACTGGAGATTATCATTGAGTGTCGCAAACATTTGTGGTCACCTCAAGTGATCCACAATATGATGAACAGAGAGATTACAGAAAAAGTTTTATCAATTGTTAGGTCAGAAATCAATGGAAATAATAGTTTATTTATGATTTGCCAAAACATTTTCAATGAACTCAATGATGAGTTTGGATATCTATGGCACTGTAGGGCTGACTATAGAAATGGTTCAGAAAATTGTTTTAGCTATGAATTGGGTTATTATTTGAGAGTCAAATTTAGTTCACTAGTATTTGATATCTATAAAACACAATATGTAAGCATTGAATTTTGTTATTTTTAAATTATATGTTAACTTAATTTATTTTTATATATATATATATATAATAATTTTTACTAAAAAAAAAATTAAGCTAAACGTCGACCAATTGAGAAAACGGTTAAGAAATGGCAAATTAAAACGCGAAATACAAATAGTTAAGACAAATATGACACACAGTATGATATCGATGGTCAATGAGATTATATTTGCAGCCATTGATAAATCTGTTGAGACAATTGCAGGACTGGCATCGGAAATGAAATATCGGATGGACAGGCAATACCCGGCCGGCAAATGGCATTGTTTTATGTATGAAAAAAGCTTCGGCGGTTATAACATACATCCCAAACACGATTCGTTAATTACCTTCGAAGTCGCAGATCTTAAGGTTACACTATTTCAAGCCATCAATGATTGATCAGAAAAAAGTTATCAAAAAGAGTACAAACTATTTATTTAAAAAAAAAATTCAATGTAAAGTATATATATATTTTTTGTTGATATTATTAATGTTAATAAGTATTTACTTGGAATTTAATTAATAGATTTTTAAATAATAGTCTCCGACAATATCTTTTAAAGTTTTTAATAACTATTATATAACAATAGATACTATTAATAATTTGTTTGTTTGTTTATGAGTTGCTTTTTTCCTATCTTTCAATATGATTGTATATTTTCATAATTGTATACTAAAAAAAATAGTTGACTCTATTTAATGGATAATCAATAAAAAAAAAAGATAAAAATCATAGAAATATAATTTTTTGATATATTATATTTATTATTTAGTATATATTTTGTTTATTACATACTGTAATAATATAATATAAACTGTGTGAATAAATTTAATTATTATTATTATTACTATTATTATTAATAATTCAACACACATGTAGTATTTGTATATTATATTTAGTAAATTATGAAAAAAATAATGAGAGATAATATTTATTATATTAATAAAAATAAATATTTCTGTTATACATAAAAATAATTAATCAAAAGTTTACGCCAAAAATACCAACTATAATATTAATTTTTATTAAAACTATTCAAGATAATTAATAAAAGTATAAGTAATTAAATACAAAATAATAATATGATTTATTATAGTTTTTTATCTAAAATTATTTTATGAATATTCATTACTAATAACTAAATAGACTATATTTTTAATAACATTTTTTTAGTTAGTAAATATATATTTAACTTTTTTACATTAGTCTAGTCCATGACATTCAAATATATTGAAATATTATTACAAATAATAATAAAATACTATTACATAAAATAAAACATTTCATTAATTACATACACAAAAAAAACACTATTAACTAAATATAATTATTTTGTGATAGATTTTGATATTACGTGTTTATTAAGTATTTATTATTCACGTTTTTTTCGATATAATAAAATAACATATAATATAATTAATAACAAAATTTAGTTGAATGTTAACTATACAATATTATAGTAATAGATTATTAGATATTTGTATCACAAATTTTTTTTACTTATTTATTATTAAAAAAATCAATATTAATTTATCATTGTTTTATATTTGTATATACTTTATTATGTTAGTTATCAGTTAAGTTAACTTCAATTCAAAGTAAATGCAAATATTAAATGACACTGTTTTTTATGAAATCAAAATTTTGTTCACCAAAAATAATTATGAACTTATTTTTAATATATTTTTAATTGACTAAAACTTATATAACAAACATAAATAAAACTTTTTTTTTGTTGGTGTCAAATGAGTTTATATTCAATAAGGTTTGTTAATTATTTAACTTTATTTGATTACAGTATATAACTTATTATATATTTTTTATATACTATAAAAATATAACTTAAGTTTGAATAATATATATTTTTTTGAAAATGTTATATATATATATATATACATAAAATTAATTAGTTTTAAAATATCAAAATAATTAGTATGTCTATAGTGGTCATCAATAGCAACAATAAAAACAAAAGTGAAACCGCAAACCGTAAACCGCAAAACATTAAAGACAAATACCGAAACTTTTTGAACCGAAACCATGAAATACGTAATGGTTTACAACAATTTGAAACCTTTCTATGGAAATATCATATACTGGTATCCAATAGTATTGACGACCATCGAAACGGCTGTCAAGGCTGGCGTCGCATACGTAATGTGTCGGCACTACGCGTAGCGGCACTGGTCATGGCTTTCCGCTATACGATGTCCATACTTTTTACCAGCAAACGTGTCGATGACCTGATGTGCAACGCTCTGTATCTGTTGTCCAATCAGAAAGTTTTGTCCGCTATCTATCTGTATGTCTCGGTGTTGTTGAACTTTGGTTTGGGTGCACTGATCCAGTACTACGACCTGAGCCGCAAATTTTATGTATTGAATTTCATCGACGACATCAAACACCAGCGGATCCGATATCCGTTGTCGTTGATATTCAATCGGAAATTCGGACTCAAAGTCAACTTTATTGTCAAATATTTGTTGAATAAGTCGCTGATGATATCGGTAGTATTGGGTACAGTGGTCATCATAGCACCGATGCTGATGCTCAGTGTCCGATCGGATAACGGTTTTCCAATGGTTTTAGTAGTATTCTGGAGTTTTATGACATTTCTCTTTTATTATACATTTTTTGCATTGATTTCCGGTTCAATTTGTTTACTATATTTGACGTCCGTTTACGTTAAGTATCAGTTTATGGACACCAATGAAATTATTGAACGCTGGAAAAGTTTGGACAACAAAAAACTAGTCGAAGCCCTGGAACGGCACCAATCGATTACGGCATCGGTAGATCAGCTGAACAAACAGCTGAAGACAATTATTTGTGTTATTTACTACTTTTTGCCGATTGTTACGGATATAGCTTTCTGGTTGAGCTATGCGCCGGAAAGTATTGTATTTATTAAGATATTTGGCGCCTGTTTTACTGGGTTTTCGGTTATCTCGTTGTTCGGTATGGTCGGTATGGTTGCATCGGTAACCCGAGCCGCTCATCGGACACTACCGCTGGTCTATTCGGTATTGTTGAAGAAAAAACAGTTGGCACTCAATCATCGATTCAAATTGATCCAGTTTATGGAGAAGCTATCGGGACCGGCCATCGGGTTTCGGTGCGCCGATTTTTTTGCCCTCAGTCACTACCAATTGTATCGATTGATTGCCAATTGGGTAATATTTTATCTGTTTCTCATGGATCTCATTGATAAAAGTTAATTTTATTATTATTATTATTAAAAAATATATTTATTTATTGTTATTTGTTATAATCAGTCAATAAAATACTTGTCTACAAAAAAAAATAATATATATGTATCAGTAGTTTATTTGTTGTGTAGAAATATTTGACATCAAATGTAAATATTTTTCTGAATTTAAGAGATTAAAGTGGTTAAAAAACATTTAATTTGAATTGATTTAATTTTTTGTTGTATTTATAATAGTAAAACAATGTGTAAATTAGTTTAAAGTAATACTATCTTTAAACAAAATTTACACACATTTACTACTAAATACAAGTTTATTAGTTTATTATAAGTTATGTAACATTTTTTTGATAATTAATTTGATTAAATATATGTACGGCTAAATTAGTGCAAAAAAATTAGTAATTTATTTTTAACTATTTTCCGTAAGTTTTTTTATTATTAATTTTTAAAATTATAATGATATGATATTGATATACATATAAAATAAACTCATTATCAATCAATCAATGAATAATTTAATTATTTAAAAAAATATAATAAAAAAATTAATTTTTGTAAAATGTTATATTAGTTAAAACTCATAACACACATAAAATAACTTTTGTAGAAAAAAACTAATTTAAAACTAACTAATGTCAGTAATTAATAATTTAAGTACAAATATATTGACATTTATTTTTGTTGTTTTGTTTTTTTGGCAATTTAATACTATTAATGATAATAATATTAATAAATTTATAAACTAATATATAGTATTATTAGTTGAACACATTAATTATTAAATTGTTATTAATGTTTCCCTACCCCATCCACCCGCCCCATTCAAACCCCCCCTCACACATACACACACACAATGTGGCTACACCTCAGATGGGACAACCTTGGTATCGATGGGCTCAGCCATATCATCTTGAGGTACGGCATCATATTGTTTGCCATCTTTTTCGGTTTGCACCGGCTGTTCGGCAGCAGTGGCAACAGTAACGTTGGCGCCGCCGGTTGGCGTTGGCAGTACATAGCTGACCGGCGCACCGCCGCTAGTCTGGATTACCACTGGTCCGGAAAATAGATTTTGTCGGCGCCTATAGAGATCGTAGGCAAAAGCAATGGCCAGTACGGCCACTACAAAGTTGATGACCGTATTGAACGAATAGTATGGATTGCGGACGGCCTGATCAATGGAGCCGAGAGAGCCCAGTGTCATCAGTACAGCGTAAGTGGTTGTCATACAAAAGTGCTCCTTATAGGCGCCCATCAGTCCTAATAGATCGAACAGTATGGCCAATGCCAGTGCCACATAAATGATTGAAATCGTAAATGTCTGTCCAAAAAAAATTTATTTTATATATAACTTATTTATGGGATGTGTGTGTGTGTATGTGTGTTTAGAAAGTATACCTTAACAGTAGCCCTGTCCTCCTGGGATAGTCTATTAAAGGCGTCATTGTTTTCGTAATAGGCGTTCACCAGAAGCGATGTAACGCCAGCCATAATGACCGCTGCAATGATACTGATGGCACAAAACGTAAACAGTGCCCACTTTTTTACACGAAAACTAGTAGTGTATCGGATATCCGATTGGTGTCTATTGGTATTGAATTTGACGTCCATTTTTTGATTGTCTAATAATTGATTTTTTAAATACAATATATCATTTAATTATAGTTTTTTCTCTTTTAATAATTTTAGTTCAAACGTGTGAATCGTTATCATATTATTATTATTATAACTTAAAGACACTCACATATAGCCTACACTTTTTCTCACATATTTTTTTGTAGTTGATTTGATTGGCATTATTAATACATTGTATTAGAAAAAAGTAAACTGTTTTTTTGTTGTTGTATTGATTGTTGAAGAGTCTACAAACTATAGTGATTAGATAATTTCAAAGGTAAAATCAAACTGTTTTATATATATAAGATTTCCGAGGGAACGGTATCTAATTTTTTATTAATAAGTTTTTGTTGTTTTCCTAGTTATAAAGCGTCATATAATATTTTATATCTGTATAATAGTAATTAGCAATATTTTTGTTTAATTTAGATAAATGATTTAATACATATAGATAGACACACACACACACACACACAATTATTTGGTCATTAATAGCCATTATAGTGTTTAGATTGTTGATAAAATAGTTGGTTTATTTATATTGTAAATAAACTAAAACAAAATTAAGTAAATTCAGGTACTTTATATACATTATAGTACCTGTTTTTTACTATAGTATATAAATATTTGTACATTTGTATATATAATGTAAATATTAGTATTGAAATTGAAATATTGATATAAGTAAATATATTACAATCAATTTTTATTATACTATTTGTTTAAATAATATTATTACTGTAGAATGTAATATCAATATAATATAAACAAACAAACTGTTAAACAATTTGTGCAATTAATTAATTTTTTTAATTAAAAAAAATAACTTTTTAATAGAGAGGACTTTTTTTTCATACTCATGTTGTTGTTGTTGTTGGACACCAGTAGCTGATAATTGCTGGTAACTGTCATATTGTCATTGTTATAACCAGTCAATTAAATAATAATTAATTAGTAGTTTATTTGTTGTCTAGAAAAATAATTGTAAATATTTATTGAATACAGATTAAAGAGATTAAAACATTTAATTTGAATCAATTAGTAGTAAATGTGTTTAAATTATAAACAATGATATAGTTTATTATAAGTTATGTAACAAAAAAAAAGTTTGTTTTTTGATAATTAATTTTATTTAATAGGTGTAAAAAAAGTTAAATTAATGCAAAAAAATAGTAATTTTAAAATAACTATTTAATTATTTTTAGTCATTTTATAAATTATGATGATATTACATAATACAGTATATTTCATATAAAAAAATAAACTCATCAATTTCAAAACAAAATAAATAATGAAAAATTTATTTGTTTATTAACCAATACATTTTTAATAATTTAATTACAAATATATTGACATTATTATTTTTTGGCAATTTTTATGCTATTAATATTAAAAAATTTATAAATTAGTATTTATTGAAAACATTGATTATTAAAATTATAATAATTTTGTTTGTTGTTTTACTACCCCATCAACACACACACACACACCCACACATAATTTTTACACAACAGGTGGGATAACCATGGTATCGATGGGCTACACCATATCATTTTGCGGTACGGCATCATATTGTTTGCCATGTTTTCCACCAGTCTGCACCGGCTGTTCGGCGGTAGTGGTAGCGGTGACTACAGTAACGTTGGCGCCGGTTGGCGACGGCAATACATAGCTGACGGGTGCGCCATCACTCATCTGGATTACCACTGGTCCTGAAAACATTAGTTGTCGGCGCTTATAGAGATCGTAGGCAAAAGCAATGGCCAGTACGGCCACTACAAAGTTGATGACAGTGTTGAACGTATAGTATGGACTTTGGACGCCTCGGTTAATCGAGCCGATAGCGCCCAGTGTCATCAGTACAGCGTATGTGGTTGTCATACAAAAGTGCTCCTTATAGGCGCCCATCAGTCCTAACAGATGGAACAGTATGCCCAATCCCAGTGCCACATAAATGATTGAAATCGTAAATGTCTGTCCAAAAAAAAATTTTTTAAAAATATATTCATGACTTATTAATGGGATATGTTAATAATAGGTGTGTGTGACTGTGATTGTCTGGGAATTAATACCTTAGCTTTAGCCCTGTCCTCCTGCGATAGTCTATTAAAGGTTTCGTTGTTTTCGTAATAATCGTTGACCAGATGCGCTATAAAGTTGACTATAATGACCGTTACAATGATATTGATGACACAAAACGTAAACAGTGCCCACTTTTTTACACGAAAACTAGTAGTGTATCGGATGTCCGATTGGTGTCTATTATTGAATTTTAAGTCCATTTTGTTTGTTTGTTTAATAATTGATTTTTAAAAAAATTATTTAATTACTATTTTTTACTTAAATACAAATACAATTTATCATTTAATTATAGTTTATTTTTTCTATTTAAAATAATTCTAGTTTAAAAACGTGTGAATCATTATCATCATATTGATACATATAAATGCTAATATATAGTAAAATATTATTAATTTATTTTATAATATTATCTATTATTGAAAAAAATAATGTTTAAATAAAAATGACATTTTTAACGGATGAAATACTTACCATATATGGGAAATGCCATATATGTGTTATAAATATTAAAAATATAATTATATATTATATATAAAGTGTTAATTTAATATTTATTATTTAAAATTATATATAATATATATATAATATTTTTAAACTAGGATGTTTTTGTTACTAATACTTAAATATTAGTATTGAAATTGAAATAGTATTGATACAGTATATGAAAACAAATCACAATTAATTTTTATTATTATATTATTTGATTAGTTAATATTAATACTGTATAACATAAATATCAATATTATATATAATATAAACAAACAGACAAACTGTTAAACAATTTGTGCAATTAATTAATTTTTTTTAAATTAAAAAAATCACTTTTTAATAGAGAGGATTATAAGGCTTTTGCTTTTCATACTCGTGCTGTTGTTGTTGGACACCAGTAGCTGCTGATGATTGCTGGTAACTGTCATGTTGTTGGTATGCGGGCGGTGCTGAATAGGGTTGCTGTGTATATGGCACCGATTGGTTGGAGGAGGAAGAGGATGGATGAGCACCGGTCGACTGGTTCGGTCCGATATACATATCGGGTGTTTGATAGGCGTGTGCGCTGTAGGCCGGCTGACTGTACGGCGGATAGGTGTTGATGTGCTGCAAGTTTTGGCCCAAAGCTGGTGACCTAAAAACAGTGGTCGTAGTGGCCATCATTGGTGGCGGCGGTGCCGGCGTCTGTATGATTATCGGTCTGGCGAACGCGTCCCGACGCCAGCGATACAGATCGTAGGCAAACGTATAGGAAACCAGACAGACTATGATGAACGGTACGGCCGCGTACCAGAAATCTGTATTTTTAGTGGCCAAACCAATTAGACCGGCCGTAATCAGTGTGTTGAGTACGGCATAGGTGCACGTCATACAGTAGTGCTCTTTGAGTGCGCCAATCAGTCCGACCAAATTGAACAGTATGGCCAGTCCGCACCCGATGTACGTAACTATCAGAAAGATACCCTATTTAAATGTATATATATAATGAAATATAAAGGATAGTTAGCTTTTTATTTATCAGACTATAGATCAGCTATCTATTGGTAATACTATAGAAAATTAATTAATTAATAAATTAATTAAATGATATTTTTTTTACTTTTTTAACATCTTTAACCCATTTTTCTTCCCATTGATAGTTATTATCGATAATTTTGGCAATCAATTTGTTGGCCATCGAGGCCAACACTATGGCACCAATAATACACAGAAGACAGAAGAAAAATAATAGCCATTTTTTGATGAAATACCAGACTGACTGTCGTATATCTGTATTATTATTATTGTTATAATTATTATTATTTAAAGTCATAGTTAGTTAATTATAGTAATAAATAATATATAATAGCTATTAATGTTGTCTCCATTAGTAATGTTTTATATTGTGAGAGCTCTCCGGTATTTTATAATCATATTGCTATAGACAACACATTTTATTTTATTAATTTTTTATATATGATATTTCAATATCAAAATGCAATTACAGGTATCTATAATAAAGCATTAGTAATGATACAATTGTTAACACTGTAAGGAATTATGATAATCTTAATTATTTTTATTGAACTTTTAGTAGATTATTAGTTTATTTTTTTCACTATAACTTTAAGCAAGTTTTAGATTTTTTTTAAATACATTTAATTAGCTATAATTTGTTTTATTTTTAAAGATAAAAAAAATCATTTTTTAATAGATAGGATTATAAGGCTTCTCACGCTGGTGTTGTTGTTGTTGGACACTAGTAGATGCTGATGATTGCTGATAACTGTCATATTGTTGGTATGCGGGCGGTGCTGAATATGGTGGTGGCTGTATATATGGTACCGAATGACTGGAGGAGGAGGAGGAGGACGTTTGAGTACCGGTGGACTGGTGCGGTCCGATATACATATCGGGTGTTTGATAGGCGTGTGCACTGTAGGCCGGCTGACTGTACGGCGGATAGGTGTTGATGTGCTGCAAGTTTTGACCTAACGCGGTAACAGTAGTTATGTTGTTCATTACAGACGGCGGTGCCTGTGTTTGTATGACTATCGGACTGGAGAACGCCTCCCGGTGCCAGCAATTGAGATCGTAGACAAATATATATGAGACCAGACAGGCTATGCTGAATGGTACGGTCGGGTACCAGGACTCACAATTCTTAGTGGCCAAACCAATTAGTCCGGCCGTAATCATTGTATTAAGTACGGCATATGGTGCACGTCATACACAGTAGTGGTCTTTGAGTGCGTCCATCAGTCCAACCAAATTGGACAGTATGGCAACTACACATTAAAATAAATACACATTTTTAATAAACTGTTTATATACAGTATATTACTATCCTATACATATAATTTTCTAATTTTGTTTTATTATTTAATTTAAAATTATTTAATCATTACACAACAACAACCCGTTTTCAAACCTATCTATACTATTGATAACTATTCAATCAGTGCGCATACATGTATTGGGATTGGGGTTAGTTTAATCACAATAAGTAAAATAAAATCAATTGATTTTTTTCATAATAATTTATTTGTAAAATCTATATATGTTTTCAAAATGTCCACAAAAAAACCCACTGAACTGAAATTGGTGGCCAAATTGGACGGACAGTCGATAATCAGTCGTCACAAACAAAAACCAATACAATTACTATACAATTCACTCTTCTTCTTCAGCTTCTTCTCCTTCTTCGTCGTTGTCCGTGTCTTCTGTTTGCTGTCCTTTCTCTTGTTTGTTGTCGACGACCTCTTCTTCTACGTCTTGTACTTCGCGATCGACTTCTGTTTACAGTCGGTGGTCGTCGTCGTCGTCGACGACGTCGCCGACGTCTTCTTCCTCCTCCCATAAATTGCATCAAATACTGGTGTGCATTAAACGGCTGATAGGCTATAGGATTCAAGTCGTACTCACTGTCCGATCGGATATTGGATATGACTTGTGTGTACGGTTGTCGACATACCGGACAAGTGTTGTTTTGGTTGGACCAATGGTTCAGACATACCAAACAAAATTCGTGCAAACATTCATTAATGACTGCCCGATCGGTTACCGGATCGTGACATATGGGACACCGGTCGGCGCCATCGCCCACTTGACTATTCTGTTGTTGTGGATTTTGCTGTCCATCGCTACTACCTCCTGGTGTCGGTGCCGCCGCCGCAGTCGCTGTTGTCGGTACTGTCGGTGTATTATTATCATTACCTGTTTGACTATGATTTTGGCTATCAGTGCTCTGAGTGCCACCAGAGGTACCATTTACTGTACTACCCATTGTTGTTGTTGACCAGATCTTGTATTGTCGGTAAACCTATTAACCTAACCTTACTTTATTGGGCACCGGTATTGTTGCTGTTCGAACTCGAGGCTCCGGGCGGTTTTGAGAACAGATATATAGTTTAGCAAAAATTTGACATCCAATTCTCAAATAATGTTAACAATTATTTTTTTTTTAAAATATAATTTAAAAGTTTATTGTATTGTATTATTGATATTTAAAAAATATATATTACCGGTAAATGCAATATTATAAATGTTTTATTTTAATTTTTAAAATTAATTTTGTTAGCGATAATGATATTACTATTGTATTATAAAATAGTTAACTCACAAAATAAAAAGTTTTTAAAATATAGTATAGTAGTTAATATATATAGTTATCTAGAAAAAAATTAAAATAATTATTTGATAGCAATAAATTTGTTTATTTTTTCATATAATTAAAAAAATACTATTAAATTTATTTAATCTATCAATCAATCAATCAATAATATAATATACCGGAAAATAATTAAACAGTTAATAAATCAATCATAAATACTAAATTAAATAAAAACATTTTTATTATTATTATTATTATTGTCAATCAATCAATCAATCAATCAAACAATTTTTCTGAACTAAAATTTACAAAAATTAATTAATTATTAATAATAATAATAACAGTAACCGATTGATAAACCGATAGTAGATCTACTCAAATAAAACACTAAGTCTACAACAAACTAGTAATTGATATACACATAGATATCGCGGTGGATGTCCATCCAAAATGATGGCCAACCCATCGCCCGCGGGGGTTGGCCTACCATTTGTTAGCGTAGTCCCAGTTATCGTAGAGACCAGCTTTGATCCGTTTGTCCAATTGTCTGATTTTCTTGTTGTGTTCAATAAGTTTGTCGTGTGATTTCCGTTGTTGATAACACTCTTTGAAATAACGCCGCCTTTCAATGGGTACGACACTGTTTGAATGTCTGGCCACTGCATCTTCGAGTACATTATCCGAATGTACTAACCGATAGCGGCGTAACGGTTCCTCCGATCCGTTTACTACCAGCCGATATTTGCGGCCAACAAATTGCCAAAATGTTTTAGACATCGCGCGGTCGGGGCGTATGGTTCGGGTCCGTTTGGATGTGTTTCGGGTGTGATGTTTTGTGTGGACAATGGGAGGACAGGTATACGCCGATCGGTCAGATTGTTTGACCAGTTGTTTGATGTAATGATTTGTTTGAATGAATTAATAATTGATAACAAAATTATTGTTATTATTATTATTATGTACTGTATATCAAAACGCCATACAATTATATAGTACTGTACTGTATATAGACTCGTCAAATGTACAGTAAGTATAGTGTATAATGTTTTTTAGGGAATAATAATAATAATTTGTTCAATGTTTTATTTATATCACGCAAACAATTACTTTTTAATTTGTCGCGCGATTATAAATAATTTTAATTTATTAAATAAAAAAATTAATAAATAAAATATGTATACTGTTTATAATAAACTGTAAGCGCGTAAGTATTGTTGCACGTGTTGCTAACTATTGATACACATATTAATCAAAACATTATATGCATAGAAAACTTTTTTTGGTTATAAACTATTAATCAAATATTAAAAAAAAAATATTAAACTAAAACAAACAAAAATTAATTACAGTATTTGTTGTATTAGGTCACTCTAGAGATATATAATATGTAAAAATGTTAGTTAACTTGTTTGCCAACCACTAGAGGGGGCGGGGGTGGGGAGGGTGACTTTGGGCATAAAGTTTTCTGTACAGTATAATCATATGATTGTATTTTATTTTAAATTAGAGGACAAGTCATACACACACACACACAGAGTGCAGGGTTGGGCCAATACATACATACATACAGTTAGGGTTAGATTGAAATTCCGAGGGAGGGAAGTTCCCAAATAAAATCCCTCCAATTTTCCCGGAAAATATGGAAAATATATTATATTCCCTCCCTTGATCGTTAGAAAGGGAAAATATAATTTGTCATACATTAAAAAGTACCTAATCTCAATGACTATGTGTTTCAATTGGGACCATTATATTAGCAATAACTCAATCAAAATGTGATTCAAATAATATTAAACATTTAGTAAAAACATTAAATAAATTTTGTAGAAATTTACTATACAAACGTGTTTTTAATTAAACATTATGTAAAGTGAGTTAGGGTACGATAGGTGGTACCACAAGGAAATGTCTTCCCTGGGAATTCCCAGGGAACAGGGAATATAAGGAACTTATGGATAATAAGACGAGGGAGGGAATCTGATCTAACCCTACATACAGTACAACAACAATGAATACATTAGTAGACAAATAAAAAAAATCAAACAACTGATGCCATATGATTATAGTACGCATGCGTAGTAACATTAATATATTGTTAATGTAGAAAAATTTTCATACATTCTATGCGTAATACTCTAATACTTATTAATGTAATATTTTGTTGTTGTTATATACAGTATCAGTGTATTACACACAGTGTAGAAATTTGTTGTTGTTGTCGTTTCACTGTATAGCATCCACCAGTTGTTTAAGCGTTGACTGTTTGATTATCAACAGTAACTATGAATACAGTGTGTCTATGTATGTGTGAGTCAGCAGCCATTGTATTGGTATTGAATTGAATACCAGTATTTAGATTATGCATTGAGTCAGTGATTCCCCACAAAAATCTATTGCTTTAAACACATACACACATAGACTACAGTGTATACTAAACATACACACAGTGTGTATGTATATATTGTGCTTAAGTTAGAGCACAATAGCCTTTAATATACATAAAAATTATTATTATATTATTATTATTAGTAGTAATACTATGTGTGTGTTTAGAAACAGAGATTATTATTAATATTATTATATTGTTTAACAAAACAACAGTGAAAATAATGAAAATGTTTTTTAATAAATAAGAAATAATAATAATATTAATAATAAAAAATAATAATAAATTTATTGTATATCTCAGTGATTGATAATAATAGTAATAATAATAATACTGTAATAATGTTATGATAATAATAATAATAATAAACAATACGATAGACAGTAGGAGTAAATAATATTTAATGATAATTGATTTTATTATGATTATCACCAATCAGTGACACAATTATCATATTATTAATTATTTCTGTGATAGTAGTAGTGGTGATGATGATGATGATGTCTGGAGGAGGAAACATGTGTTGTTAACATAACTGATCCATATTTTGTTTTTTGCTTTATTTGTGGCTTTGATTTCTTTTTTTTGATGATCAGATATCCATCCGCTGATCGCCTCAATTGTCTCAATATCTATCCTATCGGACGGTAGTGACCAGTCAACTATAGTGATCCATCTGTGTCGCTGCCGTCATCATCGTCATCATCATAGGCGTGAATGAGTTGGTGGTCAACCATCACCGACTACAATATCGGCCATCAAGTTTGATACACACAACACAAGCAAAAAAGATGTGCCAATCAATTGTCAACCCTATTGTAAACTATGCCAGTGGTCGGCCATTGTGTCCATTTCGGTGATAATCCGTTTCCCAGCGTTTGCCTCGGGAGTTAGTCTGTCATCTCTCCCACCCATCAGTGGTTCCCATACTCATCATCAGCATAGTGTGTCTCAATTTATATATCATATATATATACCTATACTCAACACCCGTTGTTTCGTTTTATAATTTTAATTTTGTTGGTCAACCCATACAAAAAATAAGTCATGTCCTTATATTACTCATCATCGCTAAGCACCAGTATGTGGTGCGCACTGTGGTCGCTGTTGACGGTGGTTACGGTGCCGCCTATCACTAGCGCCTTACAGTTGCGGCCACTGGATCAGTACATTGAACACTACGAGCCGCTCGACTACCCGCCTATCGACACAAGTCAACTGCACCGTCACCTCAAAGCACGTGCCAAACGGTCGAACAGTGTCGACAGCCGTTATCATACGGCCAGCGCTCACGACGACCGTCAACTGTTGCCGGAAGATATTAGAGTTGAGTTTCGATCTCATGGTCGACATTTTCCACTGAGACTGCGACCCGATTATCATACAGTTTTTGGCACCGATTTGGTCATCGAATCGAGCGATGGCCAACCGGTTGCCGTAGATCTCTCGCACATTGTTTCCGGTAATCTGTTAGGCGAACCGCGTAGTCGAGTGTTCGGCAATTTGCGTAAAGGCGTATTCGAGGGACAGATACTCACCCAAAACGATCAGCACTATTACGTGGAACGGGCGCTCAAATATATAAATTCTAGTAATGATCCCATACTCCAAACCGTTAGCCACGACCAGTCACTGCCATTTCATTCAGTCATCTATTCGGCCAAACACGTCAACGATCCGTATCGCCAAAAACGGTCAACAGTGGACGGCGCCTGTGCTCTTGACGACGATGTCCGCGAATGGATGAACACTGTATCCAGTTCGGCGGGTGATGACCAGTCGACAATGGCCGAGGGAACCAGCGATTCGCTGATGCGAAACAAGCGCGACAATAGCGGTGGTGGTGGTGGCGGCAACAACGGCTATAGTCGCAACAATTTTTGGACATCGTTCGAGGCCCAGGGCCGTATCGGTCCCCAACAGCGACCCGTACAGCCGGTCCAGCGAGACATACCGTTCGTACCGCAGAAGCGGGCCTGTAGTCTATACATACAGACCGATACCTATCTGTGGGATCACATAAAGAAAACCGAACAGTCGGACGCCAAAGCCCGCGAAGAAATTGCATCGTTGGTCGCCCAACACATCAAAGCTGTTAATCATATCTACGAAACTTCTGTGTTCAAAGACATCTATGGCCTAAAGTTTATCGTTCAGCGGCTAAAAATCAACGACTCGTCCGCTTGCGACACACCCACCAAACGCGAGTCCAACCAGTTTTGTTCGCCAAATATCGATGTCTCCAACTTTTTGAATCTAAACTCTCAGTTCAATCACAATGACTTTTGTTTGGCGTACATATTTACCTACCGTGACTTCAGTGGCGGTACACTTGGCCTGGCCTGGGTGGCCAGTACGTCAGGTACGTAGTAGTAGTAGTAGTAGTAGTAGTAGTGTATAATATATATTATATATATCAACCGTGTGTGTGTCTGTGTCTGTATTATTTATGTACAGATTGTGCAATACCATCGATCCCAATACTCATAGTAGTAGTTAATAATAATCGGGACCCCCTCCCCTCCCCTCTCATTTTTTAAAAATCACTACCACATCCCTCCCCCTTTTTTAACGATCCCTTAATCTCAATCCATATGTTTGACACCAAATATTTGCTAATTTATATTTTTGTTGTTTATTAGTTGTTTATACTGTTTGGTTATATTTAATCATTGAGATAAATATGTTGTCTCTCTCTCTCTCTTTCTGTTTACACTCCCGTTCCTGTCATAAACCCAGTCAGTGTGTGTATAGTGTATTGATAGTGTTTTTATTGTTTTTGTTTAATCATATGCCAAACATATTACCCTTATTTTTATTGTTGTTTTTTTGTGCTATGAATTTGGTTTATGGTGTGTGTGTGTGTGTTTGTGTGTGTGTGTGTGTGTGTAGTCTAGTAGTAAACGGTAATACTGTTTAAAAAAAATTAACAAATACTACAGTATATATATATGATATATCTAGACTTAACGACTCATTAAATGTTTTATAATAATAATAATAATAATAATATCTGTATAGAGTATAAATAATCATATAATTATTGTATTATCATCGATATTATTATGTGTTTAGTATATACAGTATTTTAGGGGAACTTATTGTCTTTGACTTTAAACACAATTTAGTTATTATTTTGTGTTTTTTATAAATTTTATGCATAAATTAGTTCAATAAAAAATATATATAACAATTTATATGTGTGTGTGTGTGTGTTTAGTTTGACTTTATAAATACGATAATTGGTTTTTTTTAAAAAAGTATACTATAGTATATAAACAATTTAGTAATATTTAAATGATTAATTCAAAAAATAATTGGACCGTTTATAATGAATTACTGGTAACCTGTAGTAAAGTTTTTAATAATAATAAAAAAATTAGTTTCCATATTATTATTATTACAATTATACCAAACAATATGCAAAACAATTTAATGCTATAATAATTCATGATTTTTCCCAATAGTAGTCTAATTATTGGATAGTCTGTTATAGAAATGTTACAAAAAATTATATGAGAAAATTAATGTTGTTTTTCCCTCATTTAAAATTGTTTTATAATTTTTTTTATATAAGTTATAAATGCATTTTGAAAGAAATTTTCTCCAATTAATTCAATCAAAACACCCAAAGTCTGGGTATATTTATAATACAAAAACCATTGCATACCATAAACCGCAACACCTTATCATTATTATTATGATTATTGTTGTTATTGTTATTATTTTAGGCTAACTTTCACTAATCACGCAAACATTATGATTATATTTTTATTTTTTATATGTTTTAAGAGTGGAAAAAAACTTTTTATTTTTTTCATTAGTATTATTATTATATGGTTTTAGTCTAATTTTTTAATTATACTAAACCGTTGTGTATTAGTTAATAGTTATTTATTTTGTTGTTGTTGGTATATATTATTTGTGAATTAGAAAGAAAATAATTTTATATATATATATATAAAACATTGTGTTTTTTTGTGAATAATTATACAATAATTTCCTGAAAATATATTAAATATGTTTTTTTATGTTTGTCAGTCTATAGCTGTGTCTATGAATTTTCAAATAATAATAATAACAATAATATACTATGAATGCCATATCCTTCAATAACACAAAAAAATATAAATAAATAATTGGCATTGTTTTTGTCTGCAATTTTTTTATATATAATAATAATTTATATACTTTATATGTATATGAATTTGATTTTAATTTCTATTGGTTTTAATTAATTATTTATTGGGAAGTTTTTTTGTGTTTGTTTTATTAATTTTTATTATTTATTAATTATATATATATATATATATATATATATTACTTGAGAAATATATTATTATAGCTGTTAATAAACAAATAGGTTGTTAAAAAAAATAAATTATTGAGTTAGTTTTTTTTTAAAATAATTATTATTTGCAAAATTTGGAGCATTGAGTGATAAAAAAAAATAAAAAAAAGTAGTTTATATATATAAATAATAATTTTTTGTATATAATAATAATAATGATAATAAAAAATTGTTGTAAAAGGAAAGTACTGATTATCCCTTTAAAAAAAAAATATTAATTAATAACTCGTATTAATCGTTAACGGACTGGTCGTTTCATGTGATAAAATAAAAGATAAAAATAATAAAATAAATTATATATATATTTTTGTTGTAAAAAAATAAAAATTAAATAAGTTTACTATATTATTATTATTAAACTTGTATTATGATATTTTTGTGTGTGCAAAGTTTTTTGCAATTATATATATCATAATTTATATATAAATATATTTTTAATGTTTAAAATATTATTATTACTCTATGAAAAAAATTATATAAAATTATTATTTTATTAGTTTTTCAAAAAACTTGATTTTTCTAATCTATAGTCTCTGCCAATTGCTAATGACTAGGACCTTGAATATATTGTATATATATATATATATATATATATATATATATATATATAAATTTATATATATTGTAGTGTAAAAACAATTTGTGTGCCATTGATTATAATTATTACAAATTTATAGTACAATGTGTGTATGGTATTATAAAATCATAATTTATAAAATAAATGAAAAATTAATAATAGGTTTTTGCAAATAACATACAATAATAATTTATTTATTTTTTTTGACTTAAGATCCATAGCTATAAAAATTTATGCATAATTATTCACTGTATATATTAACTTAATAATATAATAGAAATAATAATAATAATAATAGTGTGATAAACAATGATTTAATATATATTGGTGTGGCATTAGTTGATAACATGTATTATTTTATTATTATTAATACAATAAATTATAATACAGTAAAAAAAGTGTTTCGTAATCACATATTATTATTAATTTAATATTAATGCTTTAAAATTGTATGTTTTATGTGTGACAAGTTATTTACAATTTATTATTTTATATTATCAGCTTTTTTTAGTTTTAGAAAAATTAGCTTAAATTAAATTTATAAATAATGTAATTTATATATAGATATAATACTAGTATGACATAATGTACAGTATAAACATTTATGTTATTTTTTGATTTAATTTTTCAACAACAACAAAAATATCCTATGATAAAAATTTTAGATTACATTTCAATGGGTTTTAATGTTTAAATTACATTAAAAAATTTATAACAGTATAGTTTAATTAGTAAATTTGATATTTATTATGATTATTATAGATTTTATTATAATAATTATTATTATAGATGACTAATATCTATATATATATATATATATTTAATATCATTGATTTGATTGCTTCCGAAATTAATGAGAAAATTAAAAAATGATTAAACAATTTCATATAAAATTTCAAAAAAATTAGTTGCTTGAAAAATATGTAATTAAATTTTTTTATAATGTAATTGTAATAATAATACTAAAATGATTGAACACACAAACAAACAAAAGAGAAAGTAATTTAATTTACAATTTATATAATATTGTTATCATTATATATATATATATGACTCCCCAGTAGTTAGTAGTGGTGAGTCATTCCTAAAAATTTTAATTGAATTTTATAGTTGTTTGAGAAGTCAATTATCATTGAAATCTCTATCTATTATAATTTAAACTGATTCATGTGAACCAAATAAAATAATTTATATATATATATATACAGTATTAAACATTATATTAATTTGATATTACATTTATGTTGTTAGTGTGTGTGTATGTGTGTGTATGTCTATGTGTTTCATTTGATAAATATATTTAATGAACTGCCACTCAAAATATTTCTTTCTTTTTAAAAAAAAAAATAAAATAAAAAGTTTAGCTAATTTTTGTTTGTTTGTCTAAACACACATACATTTAATTTAATTGAAATTTTTTTTATATACAGTATATTAAAGTCATTATTATTATTATTATTATATATAAAAAAGTTCAGTAGCTTTTTGTAGCCAATACACACACACACACACACACACATACATATAAATAAATTTATATATAAATATATACTGTATATTATAGACAATTAAATGAATTAGCCACGTATAAATCAATTTGAAGCAATTTTTCATTGTGTGATTGAAATAATTTTATATATATATATTAAATATATTATAGTATAAATATAGTAGTTTTGTTGTTATTGTTGTTGGTATCATTATATACGAGGTTATATATTAATATATAAATTTATATATTATATTATAACTTATTAACTTTACTTACCATGAATTTGATTGTCAATAAAATTAATTACTATTAATATGTTTTATGTATAATGAATGAATCAATGAATTTATATATGAATTATATATTTTTTAATCATATATTCTGTCCGCAAAAAATTAAATATATTATTACATTATATATATATATACAGTATATGAGCATAAAATTCATTATTATTATTATTATAGTAGTTGTAATAATAATATTTATGATTATATATACAGTATATTTGTTGGTTATACCCTTTTTTAATGATTACAAAAAAATATTTTCTCACATATAATACACACACACATACACACACTCCCTTATCATTTACTATATCTATATTAACGATACTATAATAATAAATTAGATGGTTATCCCTAAAAGCCTCTCTCTCTCTCTCTCTCTCTTTACGATATCATTGTCCTTAAAAGTCGTTAAACTTTTGGACTATGAATTGTATTTAATTTACGTGACATTCACTATATACTATAGTTAAAAAAGTTATAAATATGGAAATATAGTAATATATTTATGAATAGATATAATGCATTATAAATAATTAGTAATAAAAATATAATAGTAATAATACTAATACTAAATAATGATATTAAAAATCGATAGTTTTTTTTAATGACACAATTATCACACACACAGCAAAATGCTATTATATACAGTATATACACAAAAGCTATTTGATAATATATTTTTTCATAATAAAGAAATAGTAATAATAATAATAATACACTTATTATTAATAATGTTATCATTTTTCTAGTTTGTTGAGACCCTTACTTTATTATTATTATGTCATTTATTTTTTTTCGATGACATTACTGTATATGATTTGAATAAAATTATACTATATTTTAAATAGTAGTAATAATAATTTCAATATTTTTTGTTGTTGTTATGTATAATTAGGCGCTTCGGGTGGTATATGCGAAAAATACAAGAGCTATACGGAGAACATTGGGGGTCGACAGGTGCAGACAAAACGTAGTTTAAACACCGGTATCATTACGTTTGTCAACTACAATAGCCGGGTGCCGCCCAAAGTCAGCGAACTGACACTGGCCCACGAAATTGGCCACAATTTTGGTTCGCCACACGACTATCCGCTAGACTGTCGACCGGGCGGTTCACAAGGAAACTACATTATGTATTCGTCGGCGACATCGGGCGAACGGCCAAATAATAACAAATTTTCGTTCTGTTCGGTCAACAATATATCCAGTGTTTTGCACGCCGTCTTCAACAACGAAGGCAAAGACAATTGTTTCCAAGAAGATAACGGACCCTTTTGTGGTAATAAACTGGTCGAAGATGGCGAAGAATGCGACTGCGGCTACGATATGAAGGAATGCAACGAACGGTGTTGTTATCCGCGTGAGATCGAGGCGTTCAGGGCTCGGGAACCGCACGCCAAACCCTGTCAACGGCGACCGGGTTGCAAGTGTTCGCCATCGCAGGGTCCGTGCTGTACGGAAAATGGCGAATTTGAGACCCGACTGAAACAATGCCGACACGAATCTGAGTGTACATACGAATCGTTTTGTAGCGGTTACGATGCTGTATGTCCGCGACCGCCGCCCAAACCCAACAATAAAACCGAATGTAATGGCGGCACACAGGTCTGCTGGAACGGTGAATGTGTCGGATCTATTTGCCAGAAGTATGACTTTGAGGAATGTTTTCTGACGGCCAAACGTGGAGCCAAACCTGACGAAATGTGCGAAGTGGCCTGTCAGTCGCCAAACAGATCCGAAACGTGTAAACGTACGTCCGAATTGGACACTATGCGCAACATATCGGGCCTGAAACTGCGTCCCGGTTCGCCGTGCAATGATTTCCAGGGCTATTGCGACGTTTTTCAACGTTGTCGAGCCGTCGATGCCGAAGGACCGCTAGCGCGGCTCAAGAATCTCTTGCTTAACCAGAAAACATTGATGACTATTAAACAATGGGTGACCACCTACTGGTGGGCCTGTATGCTGATGTTGGTCGCCATCATGATGTTTATGGCAGCGTTTATCAAATGCTGTGCCGTACACACGCCCAGTTCGAATCCGAAAAAACGGCCGGCGCTCCGACTGAGCGACACATTGCGCCGACCGGCCGATACGCTCAGGCGAAAGGTTAGTCTCCGATAATTATTATTGAAATGCCAAATGAATTATTATTATTATTATTAACATTTGTAGACAACATTTTTGTTGTTAATGAGATGGGAAGGGAAAGGGGTTTGTGTGGGTTGGGATGGGAACTGTAGTATCATTTAATTTCTATTATTTTCTTCCTGTATAATCACAACAACAACAACAACACGGTTGGTATGAATGACGGATGAACTGGTTTTTTGCTGATTGTCTAATGATTATTGTCTTCTCTTATTTTTTTTTTGTTATATTTTTTTTGTTTGTTTGTTATTGTTTTATACATTATATATATACAGTATATTGTTTTATAGAAATGTTTTTATGTTTTTTTGTTGTTGTTTTTTATTATTATCATCAAATAAATATAAGTAGATATTATGTTTTAGATTTGCTGTTAAAATGCAATTTAAAAAAAATACATTGTATGCTAGGATTTTATATATACTGTATAATATACACTATAGAGATGATAGGAAAAAGTATTTTATTGTATTAATGAAACAATTTTTGTTTAGTTTTGTTGTGTTTTTTTTATAATACTCTCTCAACCACTCTATCGTTAACTTTTTGTTTCAAAAAAAAAATAGTAAAACAAAAACACTTAAACGAGATTGAAATGAAAAAAGTCATCTAAAAAATATCACTTTAAAGTTTATATATATATTGTATATAAATTAAAATTTGAATTATTCCCCCCCCCCACCAATTTCTTTCCCTAGTATTTATTAACTAAATATTTATTAAATTTAGTACAATTTATTTTTTTAAAAATAATTTCAATTGTCGATTTAAAAACTATTTCAATGGGTATATTGAAATATACTGTGAAATTATTGTAATTTTTAATATATGTTTTTGAAGTTTTGTAAATGTTTTTAGTAGTAGTTGTTGTAATAGCACTTGAAATACAATTTTGTTGTTGTTGTTGTATATTACTTGATATCATATTATGATTGCAATTGGTTTGAATTTTTTTTTATTGTTGATTTTTTTCATCGAGGGGAACAATGACATTAGCAATAAATAATTATATAATACTATAAATATATATATATATTTGTTTAGAAACAATAAAAAACTAATTCAACTATAATTGAAATCAAACAATCGGTAAACATTTCCCCCCCCTCCCGTCCTCCCAATATATTGTACTGTATATACAGTATACAGTGTATATTGAAATATCACTGTATATACTGCATATTATATAAACATTTTGTATGATATTTAGATTTTTATTTTAAAAAAATTGCATTCAATTCAATTCATATCCTGTTTTTTAAATGCCTACATATTTTTGTTGTTGTTGTTGATATCCTATACATTGAACACATGTATATTTATATACTCCCGGGCCATAACCTTATACATACACACACACACAAAACCAACTGAAATGATAGATTTATATTTTTATATAATACTTCAATACCTGTTCCCAAACAACACTTATATATTAAAAAAAAAAATTATATCTATTTATCCATTGGATGACTACAGGAAAGGACATGAAAATGTGATTTTTAAAAAAATATATTTAACTTTATATGTTATTTATATATCCACTATTCAATAGGAGTTGTTAGATTATCATTAATTTGTATATATTTTGTTGTTGTTGTTACAAACATCTATAAAATAAAAACATAATATAAATTTATATATATATATATATAAAAAAAAAATAATATATAAATTTTACCAAACACTTGCATGACTTGTTGTGTATGCTAAACATAATATTAAAAAAATATATATATATATAATAATAATTATATTATTGTATAAGCAAACCTTGAATTTCAATAATTTTTTTATATTTAGTATTTTTGTTGAAATATTAAAATTTTTATTATTTATTATTTATTTTTTTGCTCTTTTGTGTCGAAACGGCTCTTTTTTAGGGGTGATTATTATTATTATTAATGTAAAAATATTTTTGTAAGAAAAAAAAAATATTTTATTTTAATGTATTTATAAATTATACAAATACTGTATATTTTTATATATCCAGTAGTCAATGTATGTTATCTTTTGTTTGTTTTTTTAAAATATGTTTTGTTGTCGACATTGAAATGTTTAAAGGTTTTATATTTTTAAACATTAATATTAAGCAAACTTAAACAAAAAGTTTTTTTTTGTTGTTAATTGATTTTAGACTTGATTTGGGTTTCAAAAAAATTTTATTTTTTAAATACATGTTTATTATTATTATTAATATTATTTCATTATTAAACAATTTATAATCAAATCTTGTTTTTTGGGGACAAACATTTAAAAAAAACAAACAAATTTAATTATACTATAGTATATATAATATATATATATTATTAATTTACAACAAATATGCAGCCATATATCTATAATTGTATAATTTTTTTTTATTTAAAATTCTAGTAAATTAATCAACAAAAAATTAATTAACAAAAATATATTTAGTAAATTATAATATACATTAAATGCATTATTCATTTAATGATATCATAGAAATATCGTAGGACTTCATTATTATTTAGTATTATTATTATTATTATTTATTATTATTATTATTATTACTATTATTATTTAGTAGTAGTAGTAGTAGTAGTAGTATAGTCGGGTGTTAAATAACAGCAAAAATTAATTTATTATTTAATATGTCTGGTTTATGTAATGTACTGTACTGTATATTTTTTTTATTATTAAATTCATTATATGGTTTTACAGACTATTATTATTATTATATCTATCATACATTAAATTGTGTAATACTGTATGTTTGATTAACGATATTATTATATATATATATATATAATGGTATATATATAGTGAACTATGGTTTTTCTCAAGATCTCTATCATTAACCATATTTTATAAAAAAATATACACAAATACACACAAATATTAAACTATAGTATTAATATATATATTAAAAATTTATATATATATATATGACTTGAAATTCACATAACAAATACACTACAAAAAAATGTTTTTTGAAAAACTTGTAATAAAAGACCAGACATTCACCCGAAAGAAAGTCATCAATCATTAGCTGCCAAAACATATCGCCAAACCATAGCTTGACTTTTCATTTATTATTATAAAATATACTGTATTTATAAATAACTTGAACTCACTTTTTAAATCCCAATTTGTATAATGAGATTAATTTTTGTTTCTCTCTCTCTCTGTCTATCTCTTTCTCCACCCTTTTATATCCAACAGAGTCGCGACCGATCGCACAACTCGGGACGTAATCGTGAATCACGTGGCCATCATCAGCAACAACCGCTGTCGCCGACATCTGGCCAGTCACTACAGTCGGCACCGGCCGGCTCGCTGCAGATGCAGGTGAACCCGCACGCACCGCCCACACTAGTGGTGGCACTGCCGCCAGTTAGTACTACACACTTGGATCCGCCGCCACCGTATACGGGGCCGCGACCCACAGCGCCGCCATTGCTGGCCGGTCCTTCCCATGGTTATGGCGAAGGCCGAGGCCACTACAACCGTAACGGACAGTCAAACGTGCCAACCAGTGCGAAGCCTATGGGCGCCAACGGACGCACCAGCGATCTGCCGATGCCGAGACAGAGCGGCACCGGAGGCGGCGGCAAACACAGCCGTAATAGTGATGTCGAAATGCCGAAGTCTTCGCGGCGCTCGTGATGTTTATTAGGCTCATCCCATGGCCTGAATGGGACAAACTTTTATTAGACTTTATTTCAATTATTATTATTATTATATATATATATCTAATTAATGAAAAATTTAAATTACAATTTATTATCTATTGCTCTCTCTCTCTCTCTCTCTCTTTAATATTATTTATAAGTTTTTTGTTATTATATGTCGATAACTAATTGATTGATTGATTGATTGATTGATTTGTTTTATTGTTGAATGGGAAGTGATTTACAGTGATTTTTGCTGCCAATCCTATTTTCACTCAAATCAATTGTACATTTTTTTGGAGACATTTTTATTATCGATGATGATATATATACATAATTATATTTATATGTAAAAACTATATATATATATATATATTATTGAATTGGATTATTATGATGAAACAAAACAAAAAAAAAACTCGATATATATATAATATACAGTATATTGTAAATTATGTGAAATATTTAAAAACAATATTTGAAAAAAACAAACAAACACTTGATATAACTATTATTATGATAATTATTATTATTATTATGGTAATTACCATGTATATATATATATATAATTAATGATAAATTTTAGTGTCTGTTTGTATATTGTCAATTATATATATATACACACACATGTCAATAATTTTAAACTTTTTACTATTTGAATATCTTGATAAAAATCCAAACAAACAAAACACAAAAATTATTGATTTTAATAGACAATTGAAAACAAAACAAAAATTGTTGATTTGTATGTTGAATAGTATTTGATAGAAGGGGACGAAATAGAGGGGTTAGGAAATTAATGATAATTATATAATACACACACACACACACATACATACATACACACAACTACAACTAAAAAATTACTGAAAATTATTTTGCTCCAATTATTATTATTATTATTATTGTTTTTTATTATTATTATAGAAATTAAATAACTATTCCAATACATTGATAAATAAGGTTTTTTGATTTCTATATAATTTATTTATATACAAGTAAAGTGTTCAATTAAATAATACATCATTTAATTATGATCAATGTGATATTTTAAATGAACATCTAGGTATATAATAATAATAATATAATTATTTAACTAATTGATTGATTGATTAATTAATTAATTTATATATTATAAATATATGTATATTTATCACATAAAAATTATACACAAACACAACACACACACACATATAAATAGACAATTGAATATAAAAAAATTTAATAATTTTTATTAATTATTAAAAAAAATCGGGTTAACCCGTACCCCATACGGTCAGTCAGATCTGGTCAATACTATTTGCTGTTGTTGACCTCGCAATTAATAATAATAATTATTATTATTATTTAATAACTAAATTGTTTTAATTTATTACAAGTATTTTTTCAAATATTTATTTTACTCATTTATAAATATTTTAATTAATTTATTATTTAATTAATTAATTAAGATTTTGTGTTTTAGCATTTTTTTCAATTTTTGTTTTTATCCAATTATTAATTTCAATTTATTATATATTTTTTAAATAAAATAATGTATGTAAAATGTAATAATGATAAAAAAACATAAAAATTTATATATATATATATATAATATATCAATAGATATATACAAATTAAGTTTACAAATTAAACATAAACATCAATTTACAAATAGTCATTAAACATACAGTAATTAATTGTTTTACATATAGGAAAAATTAATAAATGTAAAAATAATTTTTAAAAAACAAATTTGTTTGATTTTACTATATTTATAATTAATTTATCAATTTTATTATTATTATTATTTATCATAAATTTTTCAAAAACATGTAAATTAATGGCCATTTATAATATATTATTATAACATTGTATGAGATTTTTTTTTTGAGATGATTTGTACAATAATTGTCATCAATTTTGGCAATTTAGTAAAAAAAATATTATCATTATTATTATTATTATTAAATATTAAATTTACACAATTGTTATCATAACTATGTTTATGTGATGTTATTAATTATTATTAATAGTAAACAACAACAACTGATACCGGTACAATTAATATATATATATATATATATATACTGTAGCAGCACCCAGGACAGTTGACTTACAATAGGGTGATCATCAGGGGTGGGGGGTGGGTGGGAGATGACTACATGACTACTGGTAATAATTACAACATTTTTTTATTTAAAAAAAAGGTATTCAATTCATACAATAATACCCGAAAAAACTAACTGTCCCTAATTGTGTTAGGAAAACAATAATTTACTATTTTTTTGGTTATTAAATTAAATATAATATCCAGGACAATTCTAACAATTATTTATTACCTAATAGCTAATTATTATTATTATTATTGTCAATTATTTTTATAAATATATATATATATATATATATATATATATAGTATTATTATTATAAATAAATTTATTTGTCACAAATAATTTATATACAAAAGTATATACCGGTATATAATATTAATATATATATAAAAAAAATGTTATGTAAATATCGTTTTGAACAACTGTTTCATTAGCTGGTCGTCCATTGACTCAAATGACTGAGTTTTGCAGATATCTTTCCAGTGGTTGGCCGCAAATCGGGCGCAATGAGACTCCAATGCCGGCAATCGGTGGCCAACAGCAATCTGATAGACACTGCATATGCTGTCCATTGTGATCGACGATTGTAGAAACTCGCCGCACATGTCCAACAGTTCGGGTTCGTTGTGCGTGGCGGCCAACAACAATAGTTGGCCAGCGTTGGCCACTGTAATGTCGGGTGTTAGCGAATAAAGATATTTGATGAACGCGTACATCGATTCGTAGCTGAAATTGTTTTCGACAAAGACTTCGTTATTGTAGACCAACGAGTCTTTGATCGACTCCCAGAAGTGTCGATTACGGATCTGTAGTATAGTTTTATGACAATAGATTGAGTGATGATTGAAGACAAATTCGATGTCAAAGTTTAGATGATTGTCGAAAGCTTCGGACAGACAATTGTGAAACACTTTGGCCGCTGTCATGTCGTCGTTGTCTTTATGGACATCAACCGCTTTGTAGCCATCGCTAGACGTAAATTCGTTATTATCCTCCTCTTCCTCCTCCTCCTCCTCATCTTCTTCTTCTTCTTGTGCAACACCGATATCGTGAAATGGATTCACCGATAGTTTACATTTAATCAGGCGTTCAGCGTTGGCCAACAATTGGTCATCAATGGCGGCCAATTCGTTAGGCTTTGCAATCGCTGCTTGTTTTGCCACTACTTTATTATTATTATTATTACTGTCGGCGACAATCTTTCCGTTTCGTATGGTCACCGATCGGAATGTCTTGTCCACTCCCGAATATCGAGCGTAAACATCGTAGATAGTAAAACCAGATGTCCATCGGCTAACGTCTTGCGGAGTAGTGACCAGTTGTCTGTGAAACGAATAGCCCCAAACCCAGTACCGATTGTCAACAGATACGGCCAACGATAGACTTTTATCGAATATGGCGACAATGTCTTTGAATTTGACCGCAGTTTTCAACTTATATGGCTTACACATGTTCTCGGTCTGGCCGTTGCCGATCTGTCCGAAATCGTTTTGGCCAAATGTATAGATGTCGCCGGTTCGGGTCAATAGGATAGTATGATTTGGTCCGCAGCAGCCCTTCTTGAAGGTCATGTTTTCCAAACCGGAAATCTGTTTGGGAAGCGGATCGAAAGCCCGTTCCTTACGGCCGCCGTCTTTGCAAATATGATGATCGCTTTCCTCAATCGGTCGACCCAATTGACCGAAATCGTGTAGACCCCAGACATAGGCGCGACCGGTACACGAAATGGCCAGCGAATGATTTTTGCCGCACCCAATAGACTCGATAGGTTCGGTTAAAACAACCGGAGTGGGCCGTTCGCGCCAACACCACGTATTATCGCCAATAGCACCAAACGTGTTGCGTCCCCAGCCGTACAATAGGCCATCGCTGGTCAGCGCCAGTGTGTGTCGATTGCCACAGTCGATGGCCACTACTGTCCTGTGCTGTAGTCCAGCGATCAGCTGCGGAGTCGGCGACGACGTAAACGTTCCGATGCCTAACTGGCCATATTCGTTACAGCCCCAGGCATAACACTGGCCACTTTCAGTAAGACCGATACAGTGGCTAAAGCCGTAGTAGATCTTCATCAGTCGTTTGCCGGTCAATACGGTATTCAGTTGCGGTTGTTTGATATCCTTGTCGTTAGTTCCCAGACCCAGACAGCCGTGTCTGTTCGGGCCGTAAGCGTACACTTTGTCACCTGCGTCGGCAGTGGCGTACATAACTTCGCTGCCGTTAAATCCGAATGTGGCCACCAATCTGATGCGTGTCCAGTGGTCCTGTCGGCCACCGGTGCCGCCGCCGGCGCGCATCCGCTGCAAACTAGCAAACTGTTTGACAATCGGCATTGAATCCATCGGTTACTACTTTATGTGTGTGTGTCCGCCAAACACACGCGATTCACTGGTCACAGTGTGTCCAAAATAATCGGGCGATGGTCAGTGGCCACCAGCGGTCAACAAAATTTGGTGATTTTTTAATTAATTACTAAAATAGTTGATAACTTTTTTTTGTTTGTTAAATCGTTTATTATTTGTATGTATTATCACATTCACAGTCAGTGTTTATATCATATGTATTATAATGAAAAGTCTAATCAAAAATTAATTTTTATTTAAACACTGTATTTAGTTATGTGTTCACTGTATTCATTGATTCACTAATAATAATAATAATGACTGTAATAATTGTTAATACATGTTATATATGTGATGTTTGTCTGTATTTTTATTTTATTTTATTTTTTTTTGTATCAAATTTGACGACAAATATACAAACACTGCTTACTATTGGCTGTACACACTGTATCAACCTATCAGGGTTGGCAAAAATACATGGTTTTTGTGAATTTTGATTTTTGTATAAAAATACAATGTACTATATAGTACCATGTATTATACAAATTTTAAAACTAATATATATATAATTAATTAATTAAAAATATAAATTATATTATGTTAAAAAATTAAATGTTTAAAATATTTAGTAAAAATATAATTGATAGAAAATGCATTATTATTATTATTAGTAGTAGTAGTAGTACAATCGTTGTTTCTAAGTTATAATAATCAAATAATTTAAAATAAAAAATAATAATATTAAATCTATATTTATTATAAAACATGATTTAATTTGATTATATCAATGCTTTTAGCAATAGTTGGCACTAAATTTGTTTTTGGTAAACCAAATTGGTCATGTATTTTACAATTGTATTATGTACTGTATATTGTATTATGTACTGTATATTACGTTTTGTATTATACAAATATTTTGTCTCTGCCAACACTGATAACTACAGTCTACACTGTGTAGAGTTCAGTACAGTACTGAACTACTACTAAAGCAATAATTTTTACACACATGTAATGCTAACTAACTTTTATTTGGGGTGGGGTTGAGGTGGGGGAGTGTGATAGTAGTAGTAGTAGTGAGGCCAAGGGTTGGGCTACTTTGGACTATCATAACAAATATTATTATTAATAGTACTCTATAATATGATATTATAATTAATTAATAATCAATATCAAATAATAATAATAATAATAATAAATTTTGTTAAATTAATTATATGTGTGCGTGTGTGTGTGCATATATTTTTATTTAATATATTTTATTTTAATTATATGTATAGTATAGTATAATATAGATATAAATAGCACATAAAATTCAATCAAACAAAAATTATTTGTTATATAATAATACATTTGTATAGATTTTTTTTATAAAAATAAATATTTATAATTAATATATATTTTTAATATATAGGTAATAGACTGTGTGTGTGTGTGTACGACAATTAAATCAATAATATGATATAATTATTATTATTATTATCAATATAATAATTATTAATCAATATTTATTTATTGTCTATTACTAAATCAGTAGTACTAATAGACTATATTAGTGATAATTTAACATGTTGATTGTTTACATTAAAAATAATTTGAATAAATACATGTATATACATATAATTACTGTTAATGTAATTTTTATTAGTATGCATATTATAATTAAAAAAAAATAATAAAATATTTAATATGTATTTGTAAAATCAATTTAAGAGCTAAAATTAATTATTTTAAAGTTTTGTACACATTATCATATCATAGTATTAATAGATAAAAATATTTATTATATTTTTTGCAAATTTATAATTTTATTGCAATATTTGTGTATTTTAAGTACTAATAATAGTAATAGTAATATAATAATGATATTTAATAATCTTAAAGATATAGATAATAATTTTAATAAAAAATAATAATTAAATCATAAACTTATTATTAAATTATAAAAATAAAATAATTTCATTTTAATATTATTAAATTATCTTAATTAATTTTTTGAATGTACATAAATTTTTAAAATTTTTACACAAACACACACAAAATTAGCAGCAATTATAACATGGTATACTATAATAATTAAAAATAATGATAATTAAATTTAAATAATAAAAACATTTTTATAATATATTATTATTAGTTTTTTTGTGTTTGTATATAATATTAATATAAATAAAATCAAAAAAATATATTATATTTTATGTTCAAAAGATTTTTTTAAAATAATTAATAAATTGTCAAATACTGATGGTGTAAATCATAATAATAATAATAATAATAATAATAATAATAATAAAACCTTAATTGAATTCAATTATTGTATAATAATAATAATAATAATAATAAAAATAATAAAACCTTAATTGAATTCAATTAGTGTATAATAATAATAATAATAATAATAAAAACTAAAAACAAATATCAATATACTGTATATTTATATAATATATATAACTTAGACATAAATTATATTTAAATATTTAATAATAATTAATTAATTAATAAAAAACACACACATATTATATCAATATATTTATAACTTTTCTTAGGTGATGATAATTTTTTTCATAAATTTATAAATAATTGTCGATATGTTGTTGTTGTTGGTCATCAAAGTTTAGTTCAATAGCAAAATGATCCCTAAATAATCTCCATGAGCTCGGCTTATGCGGATTGTCCAACAGTGTCCGGTCTAGACGTAAAACCCGTTGATCTGGTCCGACAAATGCCGTATTAAACCAGAAATAAAAGGCACAATCTTCGTAAGCTCGGGGAACCGATTTCGACCGACTGGTAAACTTTAGCCGTACATCGCCGGCCAGTTGTGGACAGTTAATCGGTTCGACAGTCAGGACATCGGCCAGCGAATCGTAATCAGTCTGACAGTTACTTTGGGCACCGAAATCCATGTTAAACATTGGCAAACGGTTTACGTGAATCTGACACTGAAGATCGGAACCGTTACCGTTGCCCACACCTAACAGTGCACTAATTTTTATTGTTTTCAATCGTAGCTGTCGTCGCGGTTCGGGTATTTCACCGGACAGTTGGGTCATAACTTTTGTAAAATAGTCGACATATCGCGACTGTGACGGTGTTTCGACTCCTTGAAACTTCTCGCCCTTACTTCGATCGGTACGGCGATCGGCAAAATAGTCTAACGCCTGCTGAGAGGTCTGGTATTTACCAGTATATACCAGATATGAACAGATCATAGTTCCGGTTCTTCCCTTTCCTCCTAAATTGTCAACAAAAATAAAATTTAATAAAATTATATTAATTTATAAAATAAAATTTAATATATTATATTATATTAATATATAAAACTAAAACAATAATACAAAAAACCCCAATTGTCTTGACATATATCCAAAAATAAATAGATTTGTAAATTATATGCTATTGATAATTAAATTTTTGTTTAAAAATTTTTGTTGTTGTTTATTTGATTTATTTAAATAGAAATAAATTAAAAAAAAAATTTGTTTGTTTTTCTACACACTTATTCATTGATTCATTTTTTTAAAAAAAATTTTACAATACTTATTATTATTATTGTACTTAAATTTAAATAATATAGAAATATAGATAATAGAAATATAATAATAATAATATACTGGAAATTTTTTAGATATACGGTATATATTACTATACAATACTGTATAATAAAACATTTGTTGTTGTTTTTGTAGATTTAATAATAATAAAAATAATAATAATAAATATTTTGTTTTTATTTTCTTTCAAGTTTAGGGGTTCAATGAATTGTGGGGCTGTGTGTGTGTGTGTAGCAGTGTGTATGTGTTTATACACAATATATTATGTTTGGTAACACCCTTTAGGATAAACTAACTCATAAGGATGTTTGGACTTTTCAAACAAAAATATATTTTTTTGAATACATTTATAATAATATAAATTATATTAATCTATTGTAATTGTAATTGTGTAATAAATTACTGATTATTTTTAAGTAATTTATCATTAATTTTGTTTTTACATACAGTATAGTTAGTTGAATATTATATTTTTATAAACTCTATATTATTAACATTTATGAGGTTTTTTAAAATTTGAAATATCATATTATTAAGAAATCTAATTTGTTTTATATTTTTTATTGTTTTCTCTATTGTTTTATGTGATTACCTAATGTGGCTAAAAGTAATCAATTTTTTTTGTTATTATAAATTTTATTTAAAATACCCATATAAATATTATATAGTATTTTAATTGTTACTATAATTTTGTTTTTTATTGGATAAATAAATTAAAATAAAAATATTAATGTTATTAACAACAAAAATGTTATGAATAATAGTTTTATCGCCGATAAGTAATTAATTTTTTCACCCAATAATAAGTTTTTAATAAATATAAAATACTAAATTACTGTTGAAATGTATTAATCATTAAGTATTAAATATAAGAAAAAAAGTGTAATAAAAAAATAAAAATAAAATAATAATAAGTTTGTAATCTATTATTAATGCATTAATTCAACTTATTTTTGATCCCTTTCCTCGTTCCCCTCCAAAAAAAAAACAATAACATAACTATCCATTATTTCCAATTATTTTATCGTATTACTAACCCATACAGTGGACGGCAATGACATTATCGGCGCTACTTTTCAACCATTGGGTGGCATCCTTACAGAAGTCCATTATCTGTTGCAGTGACGGCACATTATGATCGTCGATACCGTAGTGGCCAACTTGGCCGTGAAAATATTTCGGATCGTACTGTTTTTCGGCACACAAATTATACACTTTATAGTTGCCCGGGCCGTGATTTTTGTCCAAATAGGCGGCCACGTCCTTAATGTTATTTCGATAGAAAGCCATCCTACCTGTCCAACAACAAAAACAACAACAAATAGACAACCAATCAATTAGATAAACTATCTAGATCATTATTATTATTATTATTATTATTATTATTATTATATATATATATATTGTTTACCAGTAGACGGGAACGACATGGCAATGATATTGTCGGTTACGTAAGTCAAGTCCAAATCAAACAGCGACGTCCGGATACGGCGCTTGTTTTCCGATACCACTTGTCGGGCACCGCGTCGAAGATTTCGGGGCTCTGTATAGCACAGGCGGACCAGAATAACGGTACGGACAATACGGACGACACGACCAAACAGTACAAGTCTTTATTATTATTATTATTATTATTATAAAAAAGGGGTTAAAAAAAGAGTTTGTTATATACGAGAGAAACAAAAACAAAAAATAAAATAAAAAATAAATTTTGATGAATATATTTATGCGGAACTCATGTTTTTTATTTAAAAGGGAATGGTATGGTATGGGATAGGTTAGGCTATTTTGTTGTTGTTTTTGGTTTGTCATGTCTTACCGGGTATAGCCACTCATCTCAACAAAACAATAGACGGCAGTCACGATAAAACTCACTGATATTACCGCAAAGTCCAGCGTATCCAACATATCGATGAAAAATATTTGCATACTATATATTAAATAGGAGTATATATATTAAAAAAAAATTATGAATAAAAAATTATATTTTAATAATAATTAAGAAATAAGTTTTTGTTGTTAACTAAAAAATTGTTACTAAAATTTCAATTTTATGTTTTTTTTGTTTGTTTGCATGTTTCGCAAAATAATATTTGTTTTATATAAAATATAACAACAAAAATTACTACTGTTTACCAGTTTATAAATAAATAGTTTTATTTTATTTTTTTTAATTATTTTTATTTATACTATTAATACTATTAAATTTATACTTAAGTTATGTTAATATAAATATTGCAACAAATTTTTGTATTTTATTCTGTTAATTATAAACAGTATTTTATTTAAGGTATAAATTAGTTACTATATTATTAAATGGTAGACTACTGTATATTAAAATTTTGTTGTTGTTATTGTAATTAAGATTGCTTAAAATGATTATCATTATGATTATGATTATTTTTTAAAAAAATAAATGTACATCAAAATAAAATTCCAGATAATAATCATAATTAAACATAAACTTATGGAAAAAATAGTAGTTATAATCATATATATAATATATATGTTGTTAAATAGTTATTATAATCACATAATTCAATAGTAAAATTAAAATCAAATAAACAATTATAAACTATAGTATCCTATAAAATCTTTTAGTATAAAAGTTTAATAAACTTTTAAACTTATATAATATATGTTATTATAAATCATTATTTTCTTTCAAAAAAAGTATTAATATAAATAAATTAATTAATTACAAGTATTTCATTTAATAAAATAACATTTTATTTCCCACCACTAATATATCTATATAACATATACTGTATAATACTAATGTAATTAATCTTTAATTACAAACTATACTACTATTAATAGTTATGGTTAACACTTTTTATGTGAATAAAAAAAATTAATCACTGATATCATAAAAAAAATAAAATTTCGAGAAATAAACAAAATCAATAATTTAATCTAAACTTAAAATTAAATATATATATATTTAATTTGAATTAAATTAAATCTAAAATTAAAAATTAGTGTATTTTTTCTAAAAAAAAATATTTCGTCGAAAAAAAATTTAAAAATAAAACTTACGTTTTTGCGTATATTCTTAGCGTTACTTCGACCACAAAATAGGTACCGAAAATCATTGACAACGTATTGAACACAAACTCTTGATTACTAGACTTATCATCGGTTGACAGGTCGACAATCAATAGGATTAGGTCGACAACAATAAGTGCCAAACCAAACAATCGGAAGTACAGGTGCTCGACTATTCGGCGCACTTTCTCCCGGCGCGATATAAAATAACCGTACGATAGGTCGGCACAGTTTGGCTGTTGATGTTGTTGTTGGTGTTGGTTGTGTTGCTGTTGTTGTTCAATGTCTTCGCGTGTGATCTCAATGGTCGGTTCGGCGGTCTTTAGCGATGACGACGACATGTTATTGTTGACCGAACCGGGATTAGACCGGCCGTTGACGGCACCGGTAGTCGCCATAGTCTTAGTTGTAGTCGTCGTCATCGTTGACATAGATTTTGACGTTTCTTTCAGATCGTCGCTAAATCGTTGATACTTTTGTGACATATTTTTGTTGGTGTTGTTGTGTTTAAACAAATAAAATAATTGTGTTTTAAATGATTGTTTGAAATCAAAAGTTTGAATTAATTCATATATAAATATTAATCGTTTTTTTCTCTCTCAAAACATTTCTCTTAATTTAGTTTAATATTTACTATTAATAAACGAAATATAAGTTAAATATAAATTTCAATATAACAACAAAACAACATAAAAACTTTTTGCACAATTTATAAGTTAATAAAAATATTAATTTAATTGATTAATAAATTTGTTTCAATAAATAAGAAATTTTCACTATTTTTTTCGAAAATAATAATAATTATTATTATTTATTAATTAATTAACTAATTATATGAAACATTGCCAACAAGTGGTGTATAATTATTAAATACAGTAATTATTAAAAAATCCATACACAGAAAAAACAATAAAAATTAAAATATAAAACAATATTTTGTTGTTTTTTTTAATTAGCAATCACTGAAAAGTTAAGTGAAAAACGCCTCCAAATTAATGTCCAGAAATGAGAGAAAGAGAGAGAAAAAAATTAGTTGAAAACTATAGCATAATAATCATTGGGTGAAAAATGTGTGTATGGTCCAAATGGATTGGTATGTTATGGTGTCGACACCATATATCGGTGTGTATGTGTTTCAATATTACATAACAACAATACACATACATACACACCAGTTAGTTCATGGGCTCATGGATTAAATTACTGATGAATATATATATATTTTTTTTTTGATTTGATTTTTCACATAATATATAGTATATATATAAACATATTTTTTAAAACATATACACACGAGTGACAAACTTGAGTGCACCGGTATGTGTTAGGCTAACACATATAGTACATACCCCCACCAGTGTTTCAAATACATACACACAAACTATTATTACATATCCATACAGTACTAACACACACACACACACACACAGAAAAAATCAGATTATCGTTACACTTGATGGACACCAGAAAAATATAGTTTATATATATATATATATATTTACATATTTTCAAGGGTTGTCTGTTTTTATTTTATAAAAAAAAGTTATCATCGTTATGCTGTCCGTCCCCCCACCACTCCATCAACTCACAGTCATACAGGTATTTACCTAATAATGACAGACACACACACACACACACACAACGGGTGAGTGAGTGTATGATTCAAACACACACACACACACACACACACACACACACACACACACACAGCACTTGACTTTCACTAATAGTCAAACAAAATGTTTCCTTACATTGAATAAAAAAAAGATGATTTTTTGTTGTTAACTAATAGTAATAATAATAATTGCAATAATACTTTAGTTAACTAAAATATTCAGTAATAGTAATAATAATAATAATAATATCAACACTTGAAGTAAACTGTGAATGAATATATAACTTTCATATTTAAATGATATATCAATAAAATAAAACTTTATTTTATTTTATTTTATTTTTAGTTAAATATGTTTCACTTATGGCAATAATCGAAAAACTAACTATAAATAACTACTGTATAATAAATTTTATATATAACATATAACACCACTAATAATAATAATAATATTATAATTAATAAAATTAATAACTAAAATAAAAGTGAAAAAGTTCGTGAACTTTATGAATACAACAGTGAAAAAGGGCTTTTAAAACAACATTTGATCGGTTGGTTCGGTATATTGAATCACTTAAAACACACATACAGTATACTACTGCTGGTGCATATACTTGCATACATGCATATACCCCATACCTGCAAGAGCATACATACCTGTCCCTCAGTACAGGTAATAGGCAAATGAACGGCTAGCAAATCGTATGATTTAAAAAATAAAAAGTTTTTCCCTTTTTCTAAAGCTAACTCTCCCTTATTTCCACTGTTAACTAAGCTTAACTATTTTTTTCATATATATATATATACTGTATATAACTTATATATATATGCATTTTTTTATTTATTTTTATATAATACTGTACACTTAACAACTATACACTATAGTATTAATAGTTAGTTATATAAAAAAAACTTACAAAACTTGTTTGAAACTCACATATAGACAGTGACTGAGTTATAGACAGATAGACAGTCGGATAGTCAGTAATAGAGGATTCATATGTAGTAGTAATAAACTGGTAGTCAAAATAGCTTTCAATTAAAAATAAGAGAGAGAGAGAGAGAGAGAGAGATTGAAAAAAAATTAATTATTACACAATAACATCAAATAAATAATAATAATAATAATAATAAATAACAATCTATTATATAATAGGTGTTTTCATTAGTAAAAATGCAATTAAATGTGTATTTTATAATTTTTGAAAAGCATTGGAATTTAATTTTAAAAAATTTTTGTTTATTAACTTTAATGAGAAAGTTATTAAAAAAAATTTTTTTTAAAGTTTTGTTTTGTTGTTGTTGTTATTGATTAGAAACTACCTGTGCTATTGATGTAGATTTGATTTGACATACAAACAAAAATTGTTTGAAATTGTAATGTAAGTACTAATTTATTATATTGAAAATAAAATTATATATATCTATGATATTTTAAGATTAAATAAAATTATTTTTAGATATTAAATAAACTGTAAATAAATTTATGACAACAACAAAAAAGTAGATATTATTTATTTGAAAAATATCGCAAATAACATAAAAAAATATTTATATTTTTATATTTATAACTTTAAAAAAAATATTAATGATTAATATTTTTCTTACCAATCCAATTGTATGATAATATCCATCAATAAATTTTTTTTATTACATATATTATTTACAAATGTCATATTAATTTTTATAATATTTATTATAACAAATTTATATGAATTTTTGTAGTTTTCTCAAATTGTTAACAATATTAAATGCATTTTTTTCAATTTATTACATTAATTATAACAAAACTATGCATTAATTGTTTTGTATATTAGATTTTAAACATACATTTGTTAAATAAAATTATTATTAAAAAAACAATAAACAATAATATTAATTTCAATTAAACATAATATTAATTTCAATTAAACATAATTAATATTTTTCAATTAATTAATAACAATAATTTATAATTAATAACTAAAATTATCTATTATTGTAAAATTAGTATTTTTTAGAAAAAAAACTAACAAAACTTTGTGTAGACCACTATATAAAACATATTTTGTGCTCAATATTATACTTTTATTGAATAAAGTGAAATAATATATATATTTTTAAAAATACAATTTTATTAACTAATATTAATAATGTATTAGATTTTTTTTAAAAAAATATATAATAATAAAATATATACAATATATAGTTGTATATTCAGGTGTTTTTTGAAACATTTATAACAAAAAAATAAATGATAATAAACACACATTAAAATAAAATAAATTATAATTTATGTTACTGTATACTAATAAATGTTGGATAAATGTATATATATGTATTATATATATAATATATATTTTTTATTTTTATATATTTTAGTTTTACCATGATAATAATCAATATAATAAATAAAATTTCTGAAAGTGCTCATCATTAGTAATGTGATTTATATAAGCAGAAAATATTTTTCAATAAAATAATTAAAAATAAATTTATTTAAAGTATATTTCCTTCTAAATAATTTCAATTAATTTAATTCAATTAATTTTATTTTATTATAATTATTTGATAGTTGTTTACCTTGAAATATATTGTATTACTGTATTTTGTTTGTATATTAATACAAAAAAATGGTTATTTATTTATTTTTATTATTTTATATGTAATGCTAATTATTTATTTATTTTTTTTAGTTTAAATAGTTTTTATAAAATGCTTTTTTGCACAACTGTTATAACAGTTATTAACAATTTTTAAAAAAACATATTTTCTAACAATACTTAAAAATTATTAACAATTTTCTGTACAGTTCAGTGTAATAATGCAATAATTTTTTTAGATTTATATATAAATTTAAGTAATAATAATATTAAAATAATTTTAAAATAATTGTGGAAAAACCACACAAAAAAATAAATAACATTTTCTTATTAATATTTGCCATACATTTGTAATTTATTGTTAAAATATTTTACATAAAAATGTATTAAAACTAAAAAAAAATGGAAATATTAAGAAAAAAAACTTAAATAAAACTAATAATATGGTAATAATAATAATAAATAATTTTTTACAAAATATTTATAAAAAAAACAATAATAATAATAATACAATGTTATTCATTAATATTATTATTATTTTTACATAAAGACATAAAAAATTATAACTAGTAATTAAAATTGCAAACATAAATTTTAGCTGTATAAATTTACATACACTATATTTTATAATAATAATAATAAAAGTGTGATAAAATTACAGATAACAAAAAAAATGATATAAATTTATCAATTATGTATCAAATATATGTTAATAAATACTATATTATTATGATTTTACAAATGCTAAAAAATAAATATATATTTTTTAAATGATATATAAATAATTTGTTTGTTTTTTATAAATAAAAAAACTGATATAAATCTAAAACATAATTTATCTGAAAAAATATACTAATAATAAAAAAAAGTTAAAAAAAACTTTTGCAAAACACACACATAATATAAAAAACATAAAAATATAAAAAAACAAATTTGTTTTATCAGTTAAGATATTTGTTATTATTATTATTTTCAGATAATTTAGTCGTCGGTTAAGTCAATGATATTGTTATTATCGTTGTTATCGGGATATAGCTGTTGGACGGCTTCGTACAGTCGATGCCAATCGGGTACTAAACGAGTGGCCACCGATTGTTTGGCCAATCGGAGTTCAACCAAGTAATCATTTAACGAATAATACTCGTAAAGATCGTCGGTCTCGAAGACTGTCGTTTCGATGGCCAGACCATCGTATGATAAGAATTGGCAAAAATTTTCGTTTGTTTCCAATCGATCTCTGTATTTGAACAGTACTTCGGCTATCGATTTTTGCCATCGTTTGGCCCGTTTCGGTGACGTCGTGTTTGCCGGTCGACCGATACCGTTGAAGCGCATCGGAATGGCCATCGGTGGCGGTTCGGTAAACTTACGGTGCATAATACGTAAATTGGCGACCGATGTCCAAAAGTAGTGACCAAAATCAATGGCAAAAACACGTACTTTGTTTCGAGGTGTGTCCAGTTTGGAAACATCTGTCAGTTTGACGCGTATGTAACCGCTATAGTCATCGGTTTTGGCCACACAATACTGGCCGACCACTAGAAACACGTCGGGAATTGTTTCGTACGGTTTTCGTTTCGGACTATTATTGTAGAACTCGTCCATCTGTTTGAGCGGATCGTCAAACTCGTCGCGCATATGATTGAGTTGACCGTAGAGTAGCTCTGATTTGGCCGAAAATGTAGTTATTGTTACCGGAAGAACACGGCCGACGAGTTCGGTATCGAAAAATTGTTGCAAATCAATGGACTCAAGTAGTCTATCGCCTGGTCGAACACTGCCGTCGGGAATGTCATATAATTCCATGTTATCATCGATTGTGGTAATAGGTTTGGCGACAAACGGTTTTTTCGGCCAATTTCGGGCGTCGTATACCATATACGATACAATACTGGTGTCGGCCGAGCGCTCGACAGTAAATACGGGCGTACAGGTCATCATCAGTTGGATCAGCGAACCGTTGAAGTCACGGGTGTCGATATCGGTGCCATAGATCTGTTTGTATTGATCGCGAAATTCGGTCACAGAAATACCCGACGGGTTTTGTTCGAGAATATCCCGATAGCGCATAGTGTCCTCAATTGCTAACGGATTGGCCGCCGATTCCGACAGCGACGGTGTCTCGCAATTGGACAGCCATTCGATTATTGCGGCGCTTTTGTCCACATAGTTGGCGATGTAGTCGTTATTGTTGTTATTATCGGAGTCGGAGTCCTCGTCGGAGTTAATGATGTGATCATCAATGGTGTTGTTGTCGTCGGAGTCGATGATCTCAATCATATTGATATTATTATTATTATTATTATTATTATTATAACACATTTTGCTATCAAAACTGTGGTCAGTGGTCAGTCATCGAGTGATTATAACAATTATTGTAAAAACTTTTTTTTTATAAAAAAAACTAATAACTAATTATTTATTTGCTTTTTTGTATTATTTAATATAAGTGTTAAATAAAACTTTTTTGTTATTATGTTAATAATTGAAAAGCTTTTTTTTGTTTGATTATAAGTATGTTTTAGACAAATAGTCGATTAAACATTATATATAAAGTAATTTTGATTTTGATTATTTTGTTAATTATGTTTTTAAACATATTGTTTTACAGTTTGAATTTAATTTAGCAATTATTAGTACATATCTATTTTTTTAATTTATATAAATTTATGTTAATAACAATTTTTTGACTAAAAAAATTATTATTTTTTCTTCAATAACAATAAGTTTATTTATACAGTAATTTATTTTATTAACAATTATCAACTAATTAGACACTCTTTAGATATAAGTATAATATATATATACATTAAGATTATTATATTGTATTTAATTAAAGCCATTTGACACTTTTGTTACAATAAACTTTAGTATATAATTTATATTATATATATTACTATATGATATATAAATTTGTTTAATTTGTATAAATATTGGCACTAATTTTAAATTTATCAAAAAATATACTATAAAATATCAAAAATTGTGTAATTGATATAAATATATATTATATTTTACATAATATACAGTAGATTAACATACATTTTTAGAAAATTATTTACTATAATTGTGTTTAGTTTAGCTTAAATTAAATGTGGTTTTAATATTTAATTATTTAATAAAAATAAAAGTATTAATACATATACTATAGTTTTTTTGTAAATAAATTATTATAATGGACATTGTATTGACAAAATATAACTTAATACCATTATAATATCAATTTCAATTGTTTATACAAGGTAACTTATATTACATTAAATAGTCTTAAACCGAGTATTAAATAACAAACTTATTATTAAATTATTATTTTTTGTTAAACTATTGTAAATGATTATTTGAATTTATATGAATAATGAATAGTATATTAAATATTTAATTTATTTATTAAATAATTACAACAGATATAAGCAATAGTCCAGTGATTTATATCAATGATATGCAACTATTTTGATAATTCATGTATAGCTAGCTATTATTTGTAATAATTTTTTTGCGATATAAACAAATAATATATATATACTTATTTATACTGTTTAATATTAACGATTTATTAAATAAAAAATATTAAAACTGAATGAAAATATAAAAACGCTGATACAATACTTAATCTAAAAGTACTAATCATTTAATAGATAAAAGTAAATGTATTATTTTAGTATTATAATAAAAAATAATTTTAATATTTAATTGTGTTTTATTATAAATTTATTATTATTTTAACAATCAATATCTACATTTTAACTTATTTAAAATACTAAACTATCGGTAAGTTTTAACATATTTTTTAAAAATTTCTTAATCATTATTATTAATGTTATGAATCATAACTTATGATAAAAAATAATGTTTAAATTAAATATATATATAAAATTTTTAAAATTAAAAATATTTATTATGTAAGCAAAATATTTATAATTTGCAAAATCATATATTCAATACTATTTAGACCTACAATTGTATTAAATTTTTTTAGATTAATAATTTTGTTGTAACTTAGATTATTTAAATAAAAATATATTTATATATAGTATTGTGTATTTATATGTTAATAAAAAATACTTAATGATATTTATAATTTTAAGTATATAAATCTAATAATATAAGTTTATCTATTATTTTTATTTTTTTTAATTACTATTAAATATCTATTATTTTTTGTTAGTAAATTTATATACAATTATATTTAATATTATTTATAATTTTTATATTAATAATTGAGATATATCATTAATAGCTAATGTAAATTATAAATAATATAATAGATAATTTTAAATATTTGAAAACATAAATATTTTTTTTAGCTGTTTAAATTATCATTATATTTTTAACAAATAATATAAATAAATATGTTTATGTCAAGTAACATTAGCTAGGTTATAATCTTATTTTTTTCATAAAAAATATCATTTAATTACCGTAATAATATCTATTATTTTGCAATCATTATACAAAATTTATTATATTTATTATCAATTCTGATATATTAGTAAAAGAAAATTAAAAACAACAATAACAGTATTAAAATTATCAAATAATTAATAATTAATAAAAATAAATAGTCTTCAATATACAGTATATAAACAAACGGTTTATAATATAAAGTTTTAATTAAAAAATTTGTGATTGAAATATTTTTTTTCGTAATATAATGTATAAATATATACAGTATTACAATATTCAGTAATAATTTTGTTTTTTTTTTGAAAAGTGTTATATCATTGGTAAATACAAACTAAATATCACTATTGTATTAATATTAATATTTACTAATTTTTTTAAATCAAATTTTTATTAAATAATTCAATAGTTAGATGATTTTCATATTTAATGTTAGGTCAATAATAAAAGTAACAAATTAAGTAAAAAAACTACAATTAATTTTAAAAAATCAACAATAATTTATTACTTATAGTTAATGTTAGTTATTTAATATTAAATTATTATTATAATTATTATTATTAATAGTAGAAAAAATTATTATACGATTTTTCCTTCAATACTATTTAAACTTTAAAATCAATTTAAAAGAAATTATTTGTTTTATAGACATTTAGTCAATAGTCAAACAGTTAAGTAAAAAAAAATGAAAATTATTTAACTTTATTTTTTGTTGTAAACTTTTAAAAAGGGAGGTCTTATTAGATAACATTACTGAGCTCTCCCTCTCTCTCCCTCTCACTAACTCAGGGATGTCTGCGCGATATACACAGGAGCACACCGTCATCGTCAATGATAACATAAACGATAGTCACAATCGCATGGTTAGCAGCAGCTGTACTACACATAATGCCGGTGCCATCAGTGATGGTGATGCTGCTGCTGCTGAACATAGCTATATAAATAAAACAGTTGCCAACTATTTGCCAGAATTACCGAAACAGTTGCTGGCCTTTGATGACCGACTGGAGACGAAGGACAACCAGGAGGTCAAGTATTGTCGCTGTGATAACTGTGCCATTAATAACAGTCAGCCGTGTTTGTTGAAAAACAACAATCATATCACTACTACTACTACTACTAATAATAATAATACCGTTGCTGTGATCGATGACGATCATAGTCGGACATCTACATTGACATCCACATCATTATCGGTAAATCGGACGTTGTTTGCAATGACTGATCAAACATCGCGCGTGCCGTACAAGAGTCTGAGTGGTGGCGGCGGCGACGGCAGCGGACAATCAAATGGACGCACAAACTATGGTTTCAATGTTGGACACAATAATAATTATAGTATTAATAATAATAATAGCGCTGTAGTTGGCTATTTGCCGGCCGGTCACGATAGTCAGCTGCAGCTAACTGATACTACCGGTGCTATTGGTGACAATCATCATCAGCACAGTTGGTCGTCCACCAACTCCTCCTCATCCTTCGCCCGACACTGTCATCCGACACAAAACGATGACACAGATACTAGAGAGGCAGTGTCATCAGCCAACCGTAAACTGGTTATCGGCTGTATATTGTGCGGACTATTCATGATTGGCCAGTTTGTTGGCGGCTATTTTGCCAACAGTTTAGCTATAATGACAGGTATTTTATAATTTTATTTTATTAATTTTAAGAGAGAGAGAAAAAAATATCAAATAACATATAATTTTTGTTATCTATTATACCAACAGTACAGATATGTTATACAATATTAAATATGATATTAAAAGTTTATATTCAATACTGTATTTTAAGTATACAGTAGTAGTAGTGCTGAATATATTGTATTTATTATATATCTACGTATTTATCATTGTTTTTGTTGTCTAATCAGTAATTTTTTGTTTCAATGTCTCGACAAATATGCCTCAAAAAAAACTTAGCTAAACATAGTTTGAATTTTAATGGTATATTAATTGAATTAGTTAAATAAAATTATTATTATTTTTTATTAAAACATTAAAAGTCATAAATAATCAGTACTTGTATATTATAAATTATTTTTTTTAGATATTTATTTATTTATTTTTTGGATAAAAGTGTATATTAAAAAAATATTGATAATTTGTGTGATTAGCTGCATTAATTAGATATATTTATATATATGATATTATAAATTTTATTATACTTTTTTTTTATTATTATGTACAGTAATTTATTTTATTGTATTATAATAGTTGACGATATATAATTTGCAACTTTGTATATATCTATATATATATATATAGTTTCAGCTAAAATAAATTGATGATTACGATAATAATACATCTAATAATAGCCATAAAATTATAAATTATGAAAAATATCAGTTAATTAGTTCAATATTTATTTGTTTAATGACTAATTATTATTAGTTAATTAATTAATAATTAAAAGTTTATTTATTTAATATTATATATATTAAATATAAATATTTAAAAAAATATCTAATATGTGTTTTTACCAAAATTATTATTTTTTAAAATAACACAAAATCATTGACAATATTTCAATATCTCAGATAAAATATAAATATCTTAATAAAAAATATTTACTACAAAATTAATTCGTCAGAAATAAATTATTAAATTATGTCTAATAATAATTACAATTATTTTTTTTTAAATGTATTTTACCTCAAATTATACTAACATTAAATCTATTAAAATTATTATTATTAAAAAAATATATTTATATCTGATATTATAAGTTCATATACCTTATTGTATATAATTATATTACAGATTACTAAATACTTAAAAATTAATTGCTTAACAATTTATAATTAAATATTATACTTTGTAGTATTTACAGTTTATATATATATATATATATATATATTGCAAATCATGCAAATATTTAATTTTGATTTAATGTATTTATAATAATATTTTTCCAAAAAAAAAATAGTACCTGTACTTATTTTTATTTACAATATATAAATTATTTACATAATTATAATAATAATCAATAATACAGTGTTATTAATAGAAAAAATATATATTTATTTAACAAATAAATTAACTGTTATTATTGTGCAAACAAACAAAATTTGATATATTAGTTTAATATTTATACAGTTTATACAGATTATGGAAATATACCCGAAAATAATATGATTTTTATTTAATTATGAAACTAAATTATTTATATATATATATATATATACAGTATTTGTTAAAATACAAAAAAATAATAGCAAATAATTTGATAAAATTAATTAGTTAATTAATTAAGCATGGTAACTACGAAAAAAATAATTATCACATTGAGTAAAATACAATTATTAATTTTCAAATAAATATATATATATATATATTATCAATAAATAAAATAAGTTTTTTTTATTAATACATATGAACTTAAAACAATGTCTACTATTGTAATCAGTCAACTATGAAATTTTTTTATATTAATTTTTTTTGTTGATTAAAATTAAATGAATAAATAACTAAAAATACAATTATCTTTTTTTTAAAAATAAAATAAAACCTTTAGTCTATAAATAAAATAACAATAATTAACAATTATCAACAATTTTGAAGACATTGAATTGTTATATAATCTAAACAAAAAATGTTATTGACTATAATTAACTGATTTGTTTTAAAAAAATTATTCAATTAATTGATAAAATATATCTTTTTTAAAAACACAAAGTCTATTGTATGAAAAAAATAATTCAAATTTTTTATATACTGTACAACACTTAAAGTAGTTATTTATTGATAATATAATAACTTGAAAACATTTTTTTAGTCAATGTTAACATTAAGTATACTAATGATATATTTTTTTATGTATTTTATAATTATTATATAAATTTAATTTAAAATCTACTAAATTTAAGTTTTAATAATTTGAACAATTAATTACAATTTAGTCTAAATAAACAAACAAAAAATAATTTAAACATTTAAACAAAGATATTACAATTATTACAAAACACGACACATACATTATACCTGGTATACTGTATATTCAAATTTTTTATAATAAAATTTTTGAAAAAATAACTTAATTATAAAAAACAACTTAATTATAAATCAAAATAAAATATTTTATTAATAATATATATTTTGTATTTTTTCACTCCCACGATATATACCCGTACCGACACACCAGACGCTGCACATGTATTATCAGATTTAGTTAGTTTTGTGCTCAGTTTGTTTGCCATATGGCTCAGCCAGAAAAGGCCGACCAAACGCATGTCGTTTGGCTTCTATAGGGCTGAAGTGTTGGGCGCCGTTACCAGCATTTTGATGATCTGGATTATTACCATTGTGTTAGTCTATTTAGCCGCCCAACGAATACGACATAACGACTACGAAATAGAGGACACGGCTATGTTGATTGTGGCCGGTGTTAGTGTCGGTATCAATATTCTCATTGGTCTGGTATTGTCCGATGTATTGACGTGCGGTAAACGGCCAAAACATCGACACCTGGACAGTGAACATCAGTCACAACAACAACAAACCGTACAGCATAGTAGTCACACACATAGCCATAGCCATGGGATGGGTAGTCATGGCCATTCGCACGCCAACATGAATCTTAGGTTAGTGAGCACCTCCTGATTTGCACAGCCCCTACTCACCCCCCATCCATTCTATAAGTCTAACTTTTTTGTTGTTAATTGTTTAGAGCGGCTATAATTCACGTAATAGGAGATCTCATACAAAGCATTGGTGTACTAATTGCTGCGCTTATCATACATTTCAAACCCGAGTACAAGATAGCCGATCCGATTTGTACATTCATTTTTAGCGCACTGGTTATGCTGACCACCTATGGTATAATGCGTGACGCACTGCTGGTGCTGATGGAAGGCCTGCCCCAGCATCTGGACTATACGGCCATCAAACAGGACTTATTGGCCATCGACGATGTCCAGAGTGCACACAGTTTACACATCTGGTCGCTGGCCGTAAGCCGTGTAGCATTGGCCGTACATTTGGCAGTCGATGAACGCTCGGATCCCGAAGTCGTACTGAGACGGGCCGAAAGTCTGATACGCGACAAGTATGGCATACAACAGACCACTGTTCAGGTGGAGAGGTTTGACGCCCGACTAATGAACAGTTGTGTCACTTGTAAGGGACCGTAAGATAAAGACAAACAAACAAAAATAGGCACTCATTTGACAACAACAACAGCAACGACAACAAAAGCAGCACATATTTCATAACAAATAATTAAATCAATTATATATTTATAGTAAAAAAAATTTAATAATAAATAAAATATCAGTGATTATAAATATAAACATTTTTTTCTAGGCATTAACTAATTGACTAATTGTTTCATTAATATTAATAATGATTTTTATTAAATAAATATTTTATTTTCTTTTTTTTTTTGTTATTAAATTAGTTATTGTTATCATTATTAATTATCACAGTAATGTTTAATAATAATAATAATAATTATTATTATGATTTGTTGTTCAATAATTATTTATAATTAATAATATTAATGTTTTCAGAGAAATAAAACAAACAAACAAAATTTTTAAAAAAATATATTAATTACTAAAATAATCCAGTCCAGTCAAAACTAGATTTTATGTTAACTTATTTTGTTGTTGTTGTTGTCCAACAATAATTGGTATATACACTGTATGTGGGTTTAACTGATCAATTACTTAACAAATAACCGATCAATTACTTAGACAATTATTATTATAACTGTAAAAATGCTTAGTATTACTGTTTAGGTATTGTTTACAAAAAAATTAATTATTAATCGTATTTATGTTATTCTAAGTTTATAAGTAATATTATACAGAATATTCTGTATGTTTGCAAAAGTTTGTATAGGAAAAAAAAATAATAATATAAATGTTATATTGAAATCTATTGTGTGTGTGTGTGTGTGTGTGTGTGTGTGTGGGAAGGGAGGGATATATGAATATAGGATATATGGCCACAATAAAAAAAACCAATGTCCAGTATATCATATAACAATAATTTTTAATACGATATACTTATTATTTATATTTCATAATTTCATTGTCTAACTGTAATTAATTTGATCAACAACAGTGTCTCTCTCAAGTAATCTCTCTCTCTCTCTCTCTCTCTCTCTCTCTCTCTCTCTCTCTCTCTCTCTCTCTTTCTCTCTGACTTTCTTATGAGACGCTAACATAAATCTTCAAAATTCATTGTTAAGTTATCCATTGACCAGACAGTTGACCGGCTAAGAGACATAATAAAAGTAATGATGAATTCAAGCTCGGAGTCTATGGCCAGCAGTGGAGATCAGGACAATAATAATAACAACAACAACAACAACAATAGTAACGCTAACAACAACAACAATAGCAGTAGCAGCGGCAGCAACAGCAGCGGCAACAACAACAACAGCTCGTGTCCAAAGTTGGTCAAACTCGGCAATAAAGCCAGAAAACAAATGATTGAATATCTTTCGGTCGGCAGAGAACCCGAAGGCCAGAGTAGCAGCCGAAGTGGTTCGTCGTCTAATAGCGGCAACACAAGCAGCAACACTAGCGGCGGATCGTGCGGCACAAGTGACGGCCAGATTAGCTACTCGTCTGGTAACCAGTCGGACATGGATACGGCTGTCAACATGGCTGGAAACAATGTTCCAGCCCTACTGCCGCCGCCACCGTTGCCGCCGCCGCAGCAACCGTTGGCCACTAATATGTCGTCGGCGACGACGGCCAACAATGAGGTGTTAATTGTGGCGCACACTTTGGGCCGCCAGTCGATGCTTATCAAGACATCGGAAAACGCTACGGAAAATAGTATCGCCGCCGCAGCCAATGCCCGACCTAAGCGTATGAAGACATCGATGTCCAACGATGACCGATCAAGTTGTGGTCCGGATAACAAAAGTATCGGCACCAGTCTGGACACCAGAAGCCGATGCCGGAGCTGCTGGAACTATATCCGACCGTTCGACGTAACCCATGTACTCGATTGTGGCCATCTGTATCATCGTCACTGTCTGAAAGCGTTTATCGAAGTCAATATCGCTCACAGACAGCAAATCAATTGCTGTTTTTGTCGCCAACGGGTCGACAAACAGTTGGTCGAGAATTTTATCCGACATTTCGATTCGATGGCCGTCAACAGTGCCGACGACGCGTCGGCCGTCACCGACACATCCGTACAATTGTAAGTTAAATCGTTTTTTTTGTTGTTGAAAAAAAATAATATAATTATTTTATTATATAAAATAATTTTCTTAAACTCATATATATATATATATATTTATAAGTATACCCACTTTGATCAATACTACTTCCGGCACAGGTATTTATGGGTAACGGTTGTCGTCGATATTGAGGTATCGATTATTTTTTAATGATTTTATTTATGATTTTTTGATTTTGTTTGTTTGTTTGATTGATTGGTTGGTTGGTAAGGCTATTGAAATATTAACAAAAAAAACACACCAATTAAAAAATCAATGGCAACTGTTATATATGTTATAAAAACTTATTGATTTGTTTGGAGGAAAGTTCATCCATTGGGAAAGTTAGTTTATTTTGTTGTTGATAAATTAATTATGAATTTTCAACAATAACAACAAAAAATGTTCAGTGACAACTAATTTATTTATTTATTTTTGTATTTAATTATTTATTAAAAATATTTTATTATATAATTTATCTAAAGTAAAATTTTATAATTTATCAATTATGTTATAACTATGATATTATTATCAATTAATATAATAATTAATAATATTAAACTTTAATCTATTTAATTATTTATTAATTTTTGTTAATTATATATTTTCCGGTTTTTACTTACTTAATAAAATTTTCTTTAGTATATTTAATGATATTAAATAAATTATACATATAATAATAACTGTTAGTTTAATTAAATAAGTAGAAATTGTAATTTTATATAATAATTTTATTATAAATATAATTTATTTTTCTTTTTATTATATCAAAACAGTTAGTTTTTTGGACAACAGTTTCATCTATATTTATGTTTGATATTTATTTAGCTATTATTTAATTGTTAGTAGTTTATAGTTGTTTAAAGTTGTCTTTTTTTTAAAAAAAATAACTATATGTTTAGTTTGTAGTAATCAATTATAATTTATTTAATGGTTACCTGTTTTTATGATACATATAAAATTTAATAAAAATAATAATAAAAATTACAAAAAATTTAAAAAAATAAAAAAAAAATAAAAGTATAATAATAAATTAAAACATAATATTAAAATAATTGTAAAAAAATTGTTGTTTACCCTCACATATCTGTTATCACATATGTATACTGTATTTATAATTTATATATAAATTTACAGTAGAGTTAAATAAAATAAAAAACATTATAATTTTTTTTGATGACAACTCAATTGGGGAGAGAAATCAATAATAATTGGGGAAACAATCATAATAATTATAAAAAAAAATTGTTGTCAAAATTGCTTAATTTGGATAATAACTGTTTGAATAAATGTATTGTACAATATATTATCCTAAATAAAAAATATTTCAATAAATAAAATATTACTTTAATTGTTACGAATTAATTAAACAAAAAAAATCTCTTTAATACAACAATTAAACAATTAATGTCATAAATATTTTTTAAAAATTAAATAAACTTTTTTTAAAAATATTCAAATAACCAAATAAAATATTCTCAAATATTTGTTACTTCAAATTGTATGTCCAAACCTACAAAACCATAAGTATAACAAACAAATCAACGAAAAAAAAATGGCAAACAATAGTGCGGTCGTCCGTGAGTTGCGCCGAAAGCCGGGATCAGTGCGATCAATGTTTGCCAGAGAAGCCATCGGTTACAGTAGTGATCATCAATTGTTAGCTCAGGGAATACAGGAAAAGGATCAACAAAATTCTGAAGTAATTGTGGCCAATGTTTTCGGTACAGTACCACCAAAACAACCGCCACCGACGGATAGTCTGGATTACATGCACTCGATTGTCGGCGACCAACAAATTTCAGACAACGAATCAAATACTATTGTCGGCGCTATCATCGGATGGACTGAAATGTCCTTTATTTCGTCAACAGATAGTCAGTTGCCGGCTAAAGTCATATTGTTGGACAACAGTACTGTTAAACATCATCAACAACAGCAACGGCCGACAGCCGTGACCGCATTGTACGCCGACTCGTTGTTTCCGATAGTTATGGCAAACGATTATAAACCGTTGGATACCAGACCCAAAGACTATACATACGCTACCTATTTGTATCTGAATCGGTGCCCGGAAATACCAGTCGAAACCCGTAGAGTCAGGTTTGTGTCAGTTGACAATCAAGAGATCCAGTGCCAGACCTATGCGGCCCAACTCCAGTGTGTAATCAAAATGGGAGAAAAATATCAATACAGAAATGTTATGCGAATACTGGATGTAAACAGTCTGTCTTATCAGGTCAAAGGTCTCTACGCACCGACCAATACACTCGGCGATACTCATCGTAGGGTATCAATGGATTTCATGTCCGACTTGTCTATTAGATATCCGGACTTAAGAAAATGTTTTGCCGATCGTACAGTCTATTTGGTAGCTAATGATGGACTGTTGTGTGTCACCGAAATGAGTAGCCTTAAAGACGATGTATGGCTAACATCGTTGCTTAAAAGCGAAACCTATTGTGTCTGCGAAGGTGTGGCACTCATCGATTCGTCTAAAGAGTACCAGAGTCACAGTACCCGAGGACTGTTCAAAGGACTGCCATATATCGAGTTTATTGTCATTGTTGGCGAAGGAGTCAACAATTTGCTTATCAAAAGATCGTACCTAACAATACTGGCCGGACATTCATATGTAATATCAAATTTTAGTCAATCAGATCTGTCAGTGAATATCGTTTACATTGATTGTCAACAATTGTTTGCCGATCTCGAGTCATACCCGAGTCATACGGGATCTGCCGGCGGTGGCGGACAACTGCAACTTCAACGCAGTATCCGACCAGTGATGCCGTTGGCCGATATTGGCGACTATTTTGTCGTACACTACAGAGATAAGGGCAACCAAATCGGTGATATAGTCTTCTCGTTTCGTCAGAACTATATTACCGACAGAGAGTATGTCGACGAATGGAATGTCTTTATCTGTTTGGACGACAGACAGCCACAGACGGCCGACTATCAGTATTGTTTGCAATTGGCCGCCAAATATGGTAGACAAAAGTATTGTAGACGACAACTGGATCCGCCAAACATTTTCTTCTACGACAGAGCCAATCCGTATGTCAGAGCACCGGTACTGTCAG